GTCGATTCGGACCGTGGTAAACTAGTAGACGGACCAGTTGACCGTTGGGGAGACCAAGAGATCACGAGCGGCCACACCACCCCGCTTCTGAGGCAAACATTATACACACACTCCATTGCGGCCTCTTTCGACTGACAAGAAGTGCCTCTTCGCTCTCACGACATTGGTTAGGGTGGAGTTCATTCAATTTGGAGGGAGAGTGGAAGAGGAATCCAGCTCATCCACAAGCCGAACCGTTGCCAAAGTTTTGTCAACTTTCCATCACGCATGCTTTTGTCTTTGCGACATTGCGTCTAGCACGGCTTTCAACATACAACAATTTGTGTCGCTCGGGACGTCGTCACCGTTTTCCTAGCACGGCCCCGGTCACAGGACCACGCAAGGAACAGGCATTGGGTAGCCTCGTCTGCTTGGGCGTTATTGTACGACCTTGGCCCTCTGCAGCCGCCATCACGGTGACGCTGGATGCAAAGGAGCCTATTTGGACCTATCTGCATGAGGGATTGGGACTGCGGAACTAGGTACCATTAATGACTCTTCCTCTTGCCTGTGTTGACTAAGAAAAGGTGAGTAACTGGAGCGCACATTTTTGTCCCTCGCGCCGTGCTTTTTTTTGCTCTCGTTTCCAGCTTTGCAGTATTTCCTGTGAAGCTGGAACATCCTCATCCGCACCGTCAACACAAGCCTCAGATGTCACATGCGCCACATGAGATCGAGAGAGAGATGGATGGAGATGCCCAAGTTGACCCAAGCTGACCTAACCACCCTTAGGGATCCCGGCGGCTGTCAAGGACTCTGATCCATATCCTCTGACCGGCCTCACACCTGCTTGGACCACTCGGTGAAGAAGGAAGCAGCAGCAGCAAGCGGTAGTAACAAGCAGCTCTGGCTTGCACCTGCCGCCTCACATATCGCATTGCTGGCTCTCTGCTGGTCAAACGCACCCCCGCAACTTACCATCTTTTGTTGTCATGTCTTGAATGGGCGCGTCTGGCCTTGCAACCTTCAGTGTCACTCTTTACATGACGGGTCGACGGTTCGATTGATTGACAGCCCTGCTCGAAATTCCAACCACACAAAGTAGTACAACGTGGCGGCATATTTCCTCTTGTCGATTCCTGGCCTATCTTGTCTACGAGGGCTGCTCCTTGTACGGAAGCTACACGCAAGCCTTTGATTCTCCTCCGACTCGCGGCTCTGCTAGGCTCCAAGCAGCAACATGTAAGAGGCTTCCACATTCTTGCCACCGGCGGTGTTTGGAAAGAACCGTCTATTCCGTGGCACAGGGTTGCTGACAATACATTTCCTCTTGAGTAGGAAGTTCGGCAAACAAATACAGAAGCGCCAGCTGGAGGTTCCAGAGTATGCGGCAAGCTTCGTCAATTACAAAGCTTTGAAAAAGGTCGGTGCCCCATGGACTGTGACTCCTCTAGTCTGTTTACAAATGGCCAGCCGTCCGCTCTTGTCTGAAGCCACGCCGGTTGGTCATATTGCTTTGACCAATCTTCCCCAACTGTCATTACCCATAGTTACACATAGTAACGGCAACTGAGAGCTTGTCAACTAACATTGCCCTACCGAACAGCTTATCAAGAAGCTCTCTGCCACCCCGACATTGGCGGCGCAAAATGATATACTTCGGCAGGCTGGTTCCGTTGACTCCCAAGCCTCTCTTCAAGCCAACAAGGCCACTTTCTTCTTTCAACTGGTAAGTAGACCCGCGATACACAAGACACCGTCACACAGACCCCGCAACATCCCTAACAAGCGGACCTCTACATAGGAACGTGAACTCGACAAGGTGAATGCCTTCTACTTGCAAAAAGAGGCCGAGCTCAAGATTCGGTTGAAAACTCTTCTGGACAAGAAAAAGGTCCTACAAACAAGAGACGGTATCTCAAGACGCTCTTCCAAGTTTACAACACTCGAGGAGGGCTTTCAACAATTTGCTACTGACTTGAACAAGCTTCAGCAGTTTGTTGAAATTAACGGCACTGCATTCTCCAAGATTCTCAAAAAGTGGGACAAGACGTCCAAGTCCAAAACCAAGGAGCTTTATCTGTCCAGGGCCGTCGAAGTCCAGCCATTTTTTAACGCACCCGTTATAAGTGAACTCTCGGATCAGGCCACGACTAGTCTTCAAGAGCTGGGCGCCTGGTCCGATGGCATACAGGTCAACTTTCAGACACCAGGGCATGTCGTCACGAGCCAACACTTTATGGGGACTGATGAAGGAGATGCCGACACACTGTTGCTGGATACCGTCATTACGGGGAACCTAGAGACGCTCAGAGAACTCTTGACGAAGATGCAATCCGCGAGCAGCTCAACAGACGGAGGAAGCTCATTGCCTGATCGTGTCACCAGGACCTTCCTGATGGCAATCCATGATGCGCCCGAAGAGTCTCTGCGCGTTCTTTTAGATACTGGACTCGTCGACTTGCAGTCATATGATGATATCAACGAGAGAAATTGTCTTCATCAGGCCACCATATACGGCAAACAGTATGTCTTGGAATGGGGGCTAAAAGCCGGGGTCTCTGTCGATAGGACAGATGTATATGGACGAGTGCCGTTGCACTACGCCAGTTTACATGGTCGTCTGGATATGCTCGAGGCTCTATTAAATGGTATGAAGCCCCGGAAGCTGATGACGTGATGCCTTATACTGATTCGTGCTTGGAAGTGAATTCCTCAACGATTAACCTCATTGACCATGACAACTTTACTCCGCTTATCCACTCAATTATTCATGGTCATATTGATTGCATACAGCGTTTGCTCGCTAGATCGGCAAGAATCGATCCGGTATCAGACTCAGACCATGTCCCGTTGAATTTAGCTTGTGAGCACGGCTCCGAGGCAGTTGTCGAGCTGCTCTTAAGGCACGGAGCGAATATTTTGCCCGACGCAGAAGGCTTATATCCACAGCACCTGGTGGCGAGGTCGGGAAAGACATCGGAGTTGCTGCTCCTGCTCAAAAAATTTGGAGCTGATTTAGACCAAGTTGATAAGCTGTATGGGTGGACTCCGCTTGTCCATGCGGCGAGCGAAGGCAACGTTGACTGCCTGCAGGCGCTGCTCAAGGTTGGAGTTGACGTCAATATTGTGGATGAGAAAGATCTCCCAGCCATGTACTACGCCGCGTGGGAAGGCCATCTGGAATGCATGAAACTACTTACCCCATTCAACACTCACCTTCGCGCCAGCCCGCTCGTCCTACAGTCGTCACCTGGTCCTACTGACAGCAGCAATGCACCCGGTCCCATGTCCTTGGATCCCGACGCAATCCCCATACTCGAACTGCCCCCTCCCATCATTCCCCTCCGCCGCTACGGTCATAACTTCCTCGACACTAAAACCGTCGTACAACTCAGCTTCGATGACCTTCACGAGCAGCCTTTGATATTCTTTCAAGATGGAAAATATCCGGCAGCGCGACTGACAATCTCCTCCAAGCTATCAGATCTCATCCCAAAGAATATTATTCTCCCCTTTCAAGAAGATACCCGCATGGTTTCATTCCAAGTTGACAACCTCGATACATTTTCTCTCGATTTTGATGTTTTCCCTACGTACGGTGCCAAGATTATCGCCAAGACGGTGGTATTACCTAGCGCTTTCAAGACGCAGCAAGGCGGAATCTCAAAGTGTTGCCTGCCTCTGTTTGATCCACGACTTAGGGCAATTGGCCAGATTACTTTTAGCACCCAGGTGATCAAGCCGTTCAATGGTCAGCCATTGGAAATCACGGACTTTGAGACGTACTGGAAAGCGACGAGCCAGTTTAACCAGCCCACTAGCGCTGTGGTAACTGGATCAAGTTTATCCGGTGACTACGTCCGGCTATTTGTGCAATATACGGCTGATGGAGTCCCAGTGATTTGGTCTCAATGGACGATCAGTTGTGGAGGACTAGATCTGCCACTGTGTCGACTGTCCCTACAGCAGTTCCTGACGATTACTGCTGAAAACACCTGTCGAGCTGCGTTGCCTAGCCTGTCATCGAAGACTGTTGATAACATTGCGGAGGTATATCACATCCTCGCTACAGCAGGCATCACCCTCAAGGATGCTCTGGCCATCCTCCCTCGCGGCATCAACGTGAACCTGCAGGTCCTATACCCGACGCAGGAGGAAGAAAAGGCGCTTGCGCTCGGTCCTGCGTTGGACGTCAACGTCTTTGTTGATGCTATTCTTACTGTCGTGTTTGATCATGCTCGTGCGCAGAGAGCCCAATACCAGTCTCCAGAGGCAGCTCGTTCCATGGTGTTCAGCAGCTACAATGCTCGGTTGTGTACAGCCTTGAACTGGAAGCAGCCGAACTTTCCTGTGTTCTTGTGCAACGATCTCGGCCGCGAGGACAATATCTTGGAAGAAAATATGCTTCGACCGAGTGGAAGACGAGGTACATCCATTAAAGAAGTAGTTCGAATTGCCCAGAGTAATAACTTTATGGGGCTGATCTGCTACTCCAAATTATTGGTAAGTGTATACCTGTCACCTGGAGTGTGGAATTATTTTGCTGATTTGGACATCAGGACATGGTGCCTGCTCTCGTGGACGCTATAAAATCTCATGGTTTAGCACTCGTCATGGACAAGTCGACAGATTCCCCCAGCACAAGTCCGATGACGGACCCATTCCCTCGACCACCCAAAGGTGTAGATGGTGTTTTGAAAAATCACGGCATTTTGCGATTCAATGACTCGATAGACATGTAGAGAGAATCATGAGGAGTATGCAAGCTATGGCTAGGCGAGAGGCGTTCTGATTAGAGCAATACGATTTCAAGAAGAGGAGGGCTGGTTGTACTGCATACTTTTCATGATTATGACATGATGTATGTACAGGTAGAAATCAAAGAGCCGTTGCGTTGCATCCAATCTTGGACTCATCCGTAGGGGTGTGGTGCATCAGGAACTGTGAGGAAGGGTTGTAATGATGTCATTTATTCATTCATTCACTTGCTCATTATAAAAACCAAGCCGAGGCAGGTCTCAAGCGCCTTTAAACCCATACTTCAAACCGCCCAACTCTCTTTCAGGGTCGACGCTCCCCATGACGACCTTTGCCACCAAAACAACACCGTACACAATGGCCGGCAGATTCCCCATGCCGATCCACGCAAAGCTCCCGTCCCCTCTGCCAAGCACCAAGCCCAGCACGACCAGCACACCGGACAGCACGCAGTTCAGGTACGGCAAGTACATCTCCAGCGGGGACTTGTCGGGTCCGGCGCCCCTCTTCAGCCGCCGGATCGTCTCGCTCGCGGCAGGGACGTCGCCCCTTTGGACCCAAGCGTCCAGCGGTGCGATGCCGGTCTCTGGCGGCGGGAGCTTGTACAGGATGTAGGCCGTGGAGAGGAGGGAGGTGAGCGACAGGACGGCGATGACGGGGTTTGGCGGCCCGCGCAAGAGGAGCGGCACGTAGGGGATTGTCGAGAGCGCGGGCAGAGCGAGCAGGACGGTGGCGAAGGAGGTGTTTGTCTGGCGGTTCTGCGCGGCGAGGTCTGCGATGAGGGTTTCTTGCTCTGGCGGCTGGCGCGTTAGCTGCGGTCTGGTCTGGGGGCGGAGGGTTGGGGCGGAGGGCAGGGACCTTGTTCGTCGAGGGCGGAGGGCGTGTCCGAGTCGTCGGGGTAGCGGAACGTGCGGCGGAGGCGCGCGCGCGAGGATCTGGTTTCCATTTGTGCTGGGGACTGGCGGTTGTGAGTTGGTTGATGGATCATGGAGGAGGTTTGGACAGCTTGAGTGGAGGCGGGAGCTGTCTTGCGAGAATGACGTCTGGGGCCGCGGTCGGGCTTTTGCTCCACTCGACTTGGGCTTTGGAAGCTTCGGGCCAGTATAGGCTTTGCTGGGGAAGGGTCTGGCACAATAGCTACGGCCGGCTCGTTTATTTGTCGATTTTGCTTGACTTCATGTTCATTCAATGTTAGCTTGTTGTGCGCAGAACATGGCGCGGCAGTGGTACTGTGTGTCGAGCATGACAGCTTACTTGATGTATTTAGTATTAGGCCACGTGAACACGTAATCTACTTATATATAAACTAAATAATACGTATAACATTATACAATAAAGCCAAGTGCGACGGTTTGGACCACTAAGCTAAGCGACAGTTGACGCCGTTTTTCAGGGCAGTCCTCCAGACCTCTATACAGACTGCTTACATAAGTAGAGACCGCGCCCAGTGCCCGACACGCGTCGCGCTTGGATCGCGTTTCGCCATCGGTGTGCAGTCAAATTAATCACTCATAAAGGACTTTTAAATTTGTTAATCGCAACTTGATTAAAGCATTTCCGAAATCATGGTTCTACATTCTCTCTAGCAAGACATTGAAACACCTTTTTCCCCCGGTTCTTTCCACCATCAAGTCTATCTCGTTCTTCTTAAAATCCGTCTTCTCTGACATTTTGTTTCCATGTGATATACTCGCTCACCCACAATCGCTCTTTCTCGTACAGAAACCAAGCCAGACGATTTTCGTCTTCTCCCAAATCCTCATCCTGCCAGATGCGCGAATCACCATCCCCGTCTTTTTCGTCTGCGTATGTAACTTTCTTGACGTGGTCAGACATGCGCTTCAGGAGATAGTCAGCTGTATTGGGGCCATTGCACCATTCCCTTCGCATTTGCTCCACCTCTGCTCTCTGTGATTCTGGTGCTTGAACAATCTCAACATGTAGTGCTGCCCATACAGTACTCTCCCACTGATCATTTACTGATATCCCGGGGCGAATCCTCTCACGATGTTCAGAGAAGTAATCGCCTTTGCACGCTTCAGAAAAGGCCTGGAGAAGTCGGTTTTCAATGCTGATTTGGATCTTGTCCATTGTGCTAGGATATCTAACGTGGCTAGAGGTTATCGTACACGTTAATCACCTTCCCTCGTGAGGCTTCGTTCTGTTGTCCTTGTAGATATTTGCCGCCCGAGCAATCTAGCTTCCCGCGAATCCTGCCACTTCCTTCCCATGTATTAGCATCACAATAATCTCTCCTATAGCTGTCTTGTTGTGAGCATTTCGTAGGTCTGGCTAGGCTATGTTAATTCTAAAAACCAACTATGCTTACCGCAGGAAATTCGTGCCGCGCAGGCAATACTGCAGCCTACTAGCTATGTGAAAGCGCGTCCAGTAAAACCCAACACTCTTTTTACCTCCTCTTTCTCCCTCTCTATCCTACACTCCTTACTTTCCCTTCAAACTCTCCGCTTCCTCTTCCTAGCGAGTTAAAGCCTGTAGTGTAGCATGGTAGTGAAGGAGGAGAAATTGCAAGCGTGCGGGGTATGCAAAGCACCTTGTTTTATACGCGTACATTGTGGGCTAATTACCTACAGTCTGTTAACCGGTTCGAAATTATGCAATATTGTCTGTCCCTGCCAGTACCTCTGTGTAACGTAAATATGTTGGATCTTCGCTACACAACCCAGGTGGTATGCAGAATATCCCCTTTGGTGTGTTAAGGCTCTAGTGGGGTCACGGGCCCCAGAACACCCCTGTGGGCAGCCAGCTACCTCAAATAACTTTAATAGCACCCTAAATTTAGTAAATTATTAAGTAGCGATTTATATTAAGCTTATTATAATAACCTCTACTATTACCTAATATACTAGTAGATATATATACCCCTTTATATCTTACTTCTTATTAGATATATATCCCTATAAATACCTTACCGGAGCCTTAACACACCAGAGGGGATACGAGAGAACAAATAGTGGACACCGCTAAACCCGGGGGGGAAGGCCGTGACACCAAGATTATATGAAGTTAAGTATCTTTTTTATAAAAGATCTATATGGTGATGAATCACCAACTCGGCCAGTGTGTTTAACGCATCGCGATGCGTGGACTCTTGGTGTATCGCGCGGTTAGTTGCGGTTCCCTAGCCTAGTACGGTTAAAATATAGTGTTGTTAGTGGTCTTGCATTACACAGTTATTTAGCCCCTTTTAATTTTTTTCTAATAAGTTGATATTACATGGTAAAAAATATAAAAACACACTACATATATAGCTCCGGACATGAAGACGATAACTCGGGAGGCACCGAGGGCAAACCACATTCGTTCGGGCTATAGACGGAACTGGCAAATGACGACGGCCACATTCATAACGATACGATTCTAGCAGGCTTTCTCATACAAGCAATAGGGAGTTGATTCTATTCGATTGACACTTGGCAGGAAGGATGCTGCATCTCCTTCTATACATCTCTCCGTCGCCGCAAAGAACAATCACACCAGTGATAAACTTAACACATCAAGGGCGAAGGAAGATATTCGAATGAGTTTAGAGGTACAGTATCAGCAATCATCCAGCATGCTCCCCAAAGCGTCCTTTTCGCTGTCAGAAATGCTCAGATTATAGTAGCCCTTGACATCTACCCAAGATTCGGCGTAGGTGCAGTAGAAGCTCGTCAGAGGAGGCTTCCACCTGTCAGGGCCCTTGTCCCCCTTTTGCCGATTGGCATGAGCAGAGACGGCCCAAAGCTGCGGGTGAGTCAAGTCGTTAGCAAAGGCCTCTCGCTGCTCCTCAGTCCACTCGGATGCTCCAGACTGTAACCGATGCGTTAGCCATGCAAAGATGTGAGCAATACCGGCGGGGGAAGGGGCCTTGTTTTTTCCTCACCATCCACGCATTCTTCAGAGGCACAAAGTGGTCAATATCAAGCTTGTGAGCTTCGGTGAAGACGAGGCCGTCGTATGGACTGGTCCATATGCCCGACCGAGGGACGCAGTTGCGATTCGTTTCGACATCTTCGCCGTCCCGTATGAGTACCACATCTCTTTTGCTCGTGGTTAGCAAGAAGAGCCCCCTTCAACTGGAATAACAGTGTAAACGGATTTCAACATGCCGAGTATTGCATTTTCCGTGTATAATGTCCCAGGTGTGAAAGAGAGATCGGTTGTATGTGCCATCGTCCACGGGAGTTGCTACTTGAAGGCTAGCCAGTGTCGTCCTGGCACTAGATGCACTCGGGATGCCAGGCTGACGGGAGTTAATAGTTGATACAGCCACGTCTATCTCTTTTCTTTTAACTTTTTGGGCTAAAAGTTCCACCTACTGGAGTCGGTTCAGGGACCGGAACCGCGAGGACCACGACAGCGGTGAATAAGATGCTGAGAGTGACGATCTTCATGTGGAACAACGGAGCGAGTTGCTGCATATGGTGAGGAGAAGGACAAGAAAACAGGAAGCACTCAGGATACAAGACTCGTCATGTTTATAACACATTCGAATTTGTTTCCGCGGCTGTATATACCTGACTGAATCAGCCAGCTCTTCTTTGTGTCGGGCAGACTCCGAACTCCTCCTGCCCGAACCTGACTATATGGGGTGCAACCGCTTTGGTGTCAGGACGGTATGAATTATCCCTTGTGACCAATATCAATGGAGATGGCGTGTCAAATAAGTAAATAGTATGGGTGAACTGCATATTCCTCCGGCATTTCCTATCCGTGAGTTGATAGCGATGAGAAAGAAGTATCGCCGACCACGACACTCTGTTTGCCCGTGCAACCTGCCTATTCGGGTATTCATATGGCTGAGAGATCGCACCATCCAGATATCTAACCACGTGTATTGTCCGACTCGGGGCAATGGGAGGGGTTTTAAATGACTAACAGGCAGACCCCGATACGACCCTTGTTCTACTCCTTCTACATTTGTATCATGAGCGGTGTAGACAAACAATGCCCTTGCTGCCTAGCCAACCCAAAATTCGTATTGAAGTTGATCCATTTTCGTCCGTCCGAGTATGCGCCATGGGTAAGTAGCGTTCCCCGGACTGGTTCTGAGGAGTGAAGGATGCAAGGTTGTCGTATGCGGTCCTGATATGACTTGTAGTACACTGTAGACGACACGTATGTCTGCCTGTGTCTATCCGTGGACACCATAGCGAAGATGAAGCACTCCGCACAGGCCTTGCGCCGTAGGAAAGACAAAATATTCAGGCATCCCAAACTCCATCTCTACATACTCGCATATGTCGCAGCTTGTCTAAGCTTGAATGCAAAGTATTTGACGCTACTACAACTCGATTGTTGTAAACCGTATGCTTGAACGAAACTTGGCTGGTAGCGATGCTCTAGGTATTCGATGACCTAGTACATTGTTTCTTCTTCCTCGGCAAGCTGTTCAGCAGGCTGTTGCGTAATTTCGCTGCGGATACCTTCATCGAGGGTCAGCAAGACATATCCAGAGGCTACGATTTGGGCTGCCTGCCACGTTAATAAATGCATCCTGTGAAGGATCTGATCATTTCCAGCAAAAGAGGGCCGTTATTTGTTCTTGAGTCATAAAAGGCCACACCCCATGCATTTGAGCTGCTTGAGAAGTTCTTCCACTGGGCAGGTCTTCAGGCGAAGTGAGCCTTGGGACTGCTTTCAGGCCAGCGAGGTCGAGCGGTGATCCGAGATACTTGGCGGCCATGCGGGCGATCAGCTCGAGGGAGCTGGAATAGAAACAAGCTTGAATTGAGAGCAATAGTAAGTGGCATTGCAAAAGCAATTCGGAATGCTTAGCTGCCGCATCTTACGTTTGCTGCGTGGCATGAATCCGCATGATTGTAATCTCGGCTCAGTCAGGGGCTCAGGCAGTTGAATGATATGGGCGGCGGACCTTGCACGGCCAATATTGCTGCTTTCTGCACAACACCGAGCAGATTTATCAGGCTGTACGGAGTATGGCTGATGCAAATGCATTCCCAGAGATGAGAAGGTAGTCAGTCGGGGTATCCTCTGGCACGGGGTTCAACGACAATATTTCCTTCTGTAGGTCTAGGTTGTGCAGAGTACCGTCAGTGGAAAATGGCCGCGGTAAAGTTTGGAGAGGTAGAATGAGCCTTTGGTGACGCTCTTGTGATGTTGGTATTGAGTTTATGACGTATATGTATGTGGACATAGCCAGCCACGATTCCAATGCCAGACTACTCTGATCCTGTTGATGCTGCTGCTAGGTTTTGTGGCAGCTTTGTTGATTCTAGGCGAGGTTACGGTTGGTCCAGCACCTTGATTTGCTCCCACAGAGAAGGAACACCGCATCAGCCACCTGTCAGCTCAGCCCCCCAGGCTAATTCCGATCTGAGTGCCGGCTTGTCTGTCAGATCAATACGACTCGTCCCGTAGCCACTAGGTGTACCTAGTACATAGATAGGTCGATACTACATACTCCGTACTTGGAGCAACCTGCACCACGCCCAATTGTCAATGATAGATTGTCTCTTCAAATTTGGTGCAGCAGAGGAAACAAAATAATGCACTTGTGGCGGTTCAGACACAAAACTACGTCACGGGGACGGCAAATAGGATCGGTCGGCGCTTGAAATATCAATTGACGTCTGCCCAACGCCAGCCCCGCGGCAAGCTCGCCCAAACACCACCTCTTGAGACACCATCAGGCCATCAGACCATCCTACCAACCGGCCACCCGCCCATCTGGATCTCATCCCCAAACATCACTTTTTAATGCCACATCTCCCCAGGTCTAGTCCTTGGTTTTCAGGACGCCGTACTACCGAGCAGCTTTGCGTTTGCCAAACGCAAAGCACTGCCGACTAGCACCATGTTCAACCCCGGCATCGCCTACATGCTTGTAAGTCACCGCTCCTGAGTCCTCTCCATCACCACACCTTCCAAGCAGCCAGTTAGCTGACCACCACAAGGTTTGTGTCGTCCTCTTTGCCATCGCCGTGTAAATACTAAAGACCCAAGGCCCTTTCTCCCCTCCACGAAGCACCGGCTAATAATCACAATCCAGTGTCATCCACTACCACACCATACACCTCTCCCTCCCCATATCGTCCGCCATCACCATCCTCAGCACCATCCTCCCCATCACTGCCTTCCTCAACGCCTACGTATACCCCAACCTCCTCCGCTCCTCACACACTTTTACATCCGGCGATATCTTCACACGCCTCGCTCCCATCGTCCTCCAGGGCTTCCAGGCAATCATAACCGCCATCCTCGCCACTTTGCTCCTCGAAGGCGTCGTGCCGTCTCCCGCGCTCGAATTCCTCATCGACTACGAATGGGACAAGCTCTACCAAGCCAAGAATGCAGACTACATTGAGTACATACAGGATACGTATAGCTGCTGCGGCTTGAATTCCGTAGATGACAGGGCCTACCCGTTTTCCAATGTACCGGGCGGCACATGTGCCGAGATTCACGGCCGAACGAGAGCGTGCAGGGGGCCGTGGACGTTGGCGTTGCAGGCCGCATCAGGCGTTGACTTTGGGGTTGTGGTCATAGTAGGATTGATGCAGGTGAGCTTTCTGCCCTCATATGACCCTCGAGGTGTGCGGCATCGAGAATTCGCCGCTGATGTGTCTAGATAATTGGCCTCTTAATTATGAGAGAGCGGACAGCCTGGTGGACCGCCCTCCGAACAGAGGACTGGAAACCATTCAGCGAGACCGACGACGAAAGCTCCAGACGCCTAGCCACTGTCGCCGAAGAGTCTGAAGAATCTTCCGAACAAGGCGAGGCCGCCCAGCGAGGAGGGTACGGCGCTATTGAGACACCCGCCACTGGTCCCTCTGCTTCTCATGGGGAGGCCCAACGCCCTAATAACGGATGATTACGAACCCCCTCTCCCCTTTCCGACCAAAACATATATATACCGTAGTAGCGAAGGATATTTTTTAATAAGGCACGGAATAAGCATTCGCCTGGAGTTTGTTATCCGTTTACTCATGTATTTTTTAAAAATTGTCGTAATGGACAGCTTATTTACTTCTCCTTAATTCTAACGCTTCCTTACCAAGTATAGCCAGTGCAGCCTCATACCCCTGCACTCTCTCCTCGGTCATTTCTTCTATTCTCGTTCTCTCCACCTTCTGTGTCCGTCTTATGGCTTGGTTCTTTGCGATTTTACCCCAGAACCAACCGCTTTCGTCATCGCCAATCAAAGTCCATGCACATCCAGACCGTCCTGCGCGAGCCGTCCGACCTACGCGGTGAACGTAGCCGGCTACACTGGCGGGTAAGTCGTAGTTGATGACATGGCCGAGCTTAGGGATGTCGATACCTCGGGCGACTAGGTCGGAGGCGATAATGAGACGCACAGGGGACGAAGGAGTTGTGAATGCGCGGAGGACCTTGCGACGAATGTGGGTGGGCGTGGTGGATGTCAGGGTGCTGATTTGACTGGTGAGTGAGGCGTCGAGGAGCGTGAGGAGCCGAGAGAGCCGCAGAGCAGATTCGTTGGACTTGGTAAAGATGAGGGAGATGGGGATTTGTGTCTTGGGCGCTGGAGCTGTGCTTTCATCGTCTGAAGTACCCGACTCGGAGGTTGTATCCGAATCCGAACCCGAACTATCCGACTCTGAGGAGGTGTCAGAGCTGTCGGATGTATCCTCATCTTCCTTCAACGTGGACGAGGAGTCTCCATTTCCAACAGGGCCCGTCATGTGGGACTGTCTCAAGAGATCCAAAAGATACAGGGGCTTGAGATTAGCCTCATGAACCCGCACCGCAAACTCCCGCAAGCCTACAGGCAGAGTATGTTCCGCTACCTGCACGGCGCCGTCATTCTCCAGCACAACCAGCCGCGGTCTCCGCAGCGCCAACTGATTCAAGAGACTGAGGTCTCTGGTCAATGTCGCACTGAGAATCACCTTGCGAACACCTGAATATGCCATGTCGGGAAAGTCGCGAGCACTGAATTTGTTGACCTGAAACTTTTCCAGCACCAGGTCCAGCCAGCCCTGGAAACTCTGCGCGAGCAGCTTGTCCGCCTCGTCGACGACGAGCCAGCGGATGTAGTCGAGGCTGAAGCCGGGTGTCTGCTCAATATGTTCTACTAGACGGCCGGGCGTGCAAATCAGGACATCTACCTTGGAAGAAAAGTCTACAACTTCACCTTTCCAAGGTCCGAGGCGGGCATCGATGTTGGTGGAATCTAAGTCATGCGTATCGTCGACGTCGGCGGAAAAAGTAGTCGCACGCTGCTGCCTTTGCTCTTCCTGTATTTTACTGTAGGCCTCCGGGTCATAACGCGACTCTCGTTCCATAAAGGCCTCTTGTTCCGATTTGATAGACTGACTTCCAACGGCCACGCCGATTCGGACTCGCTTACGGTCTTCCCCCTCGTAGGCCTTGGCACACACCTCAAAGACATCCTGTGCTTGCTTGACGAGTTCTCGTGTGGGGAGGACCACAAGAGCTCGTAGCCTCGTGACCACGCCGTTGCTAATATCGCGGACAATGGGCAGTGCGTAGGCGAGTGTTTTGCCGGATCCCGTGGCTGCTGACACTAGTAAATCTCCTGGTCGGCGTTTACTTGTTGGTAGAAGTAGAGGGATGGCCGCAGTCTGAACTGCAAATGCCTCATTGTAGCCCTTTTCTGCTAATATCCGCGATGGTCGTGGTAGGATGCCCAGGTCTGTGAAGGGCGCCTTTGTGTCTTGCGCGACCCGTATGGGGTTGGACAGCCATGGGGGAAGGGTGTCGTATGTTGGCTTGGACTCGTCCTCTGGTACGGGAGCTGGCTGAGGCAGCGGCTCCAGACCGTGAGATTCCACGGATTCCTCGTCGGACTCGTCGTGTTTCGTTTGTGCGATTTTGGTGGCCAATTTTATTGACTTTGTTTTGCGCTCTAAAACTGCCTTGTGCCGTGCCATATCCTTTTCGTCGTCTTTGTCTTGCTCTTCTGTTACCCCCTTGGCTTGTTTCTTCTTCTTCTCCCGTTTGGGCTTCTTTTCCTTTGTTTGTTCCTCCGCCTCGAGGGCACCCTCGGCCATCTCCACATCACTTTCTCTGTCTCTTGAGTCGGCTCTGTTTTCAACAATGTCGACGGGAGGAGCTTCCTCGACGTTGTCTTGTATTTTCACGCTCGACTTAGCCGTCGTGTGTTTCGGCTCGTCGTCGGAATCGTCAGAAGAATCATTAGCCTGGGTTCGTTGCTTTCGCTTTCTCCGATTTTTCTTTTTTGCACCCGGTTGGGAATCCGCCGCTGCAGTGTCGTCCCGTGGAGCAGTAGCATCTTTGACTCTTTTGATCTTTTTGCTCTCCGACCCCTGCTGCTCCTCGGTCGCCGGTTCTCGCTTCCGCTTCGGTGTGGAATCGGCCTCGTCGTTGAAATACTGTATTGACTTTGGGGCAGATACGGACGGAGCAGAAGATTTTGCCGCGGCCTTGGCTCCTGGCACGTAGCGCGTGTAGCTGAATTCCTCGACAAGCCTTGACTCTATCGCATCCGGCTTGGGAGCTGGTGATGACTTTGGGGCTGAAGGCTCAGCAGGCGCTGTGGCTTTTGCGCCTTTTGACGGAGGCACATACCTCGCGTACATTGTTTCAGATCCCCAATGCCCCAAGACGGGAAGCAAATACGTAGTGGAATTGGATATTCGGCGCAAGAATCCAATGCTGCCATTTCCAAAAAATTGGGCGGGCCGTATCCTTATCGCAAATCTGCCAGCCCTCACCGCCAACCCATCGCCCAAAGCCCACCCAGCTACCCCTGCCTCGTAGGCGTGGAGCTTTCGGGAGCTCCATATGTCACGTCTCACCAACAAGTGGCCCGTCCAATTTCTAAGTGAAGAAGTGTCGACACTACGATATTGTGAGGGCCACGATCACATCCACCCTCAGGATATCAAACAACCAGCTGGGCCATGTTGCAACAAAATAACCCCGCTCTCATACTTGCTTCGCAACCTCTCATCAGTTCGTCAAAATGACGCGCCGGCGGTACAACATCGCCATGGTCAGCGACTTCTTCTTCCCGCAACCAGGAGGCATCGAGTCTCACATCTACCAGCTGTCAAGCAAGCTCATAGACCGAGGACACAAGGTCATCATTATTACGCATTCTCACGACGACAGAAAGGGCGTTCGATATCTCACCAACGGGCTCAAGGTGTACCACGTGCCGTTTCTTGTAATTTATCGCCAGGCTACCTTTCCCACCGTCTTTTCCTTCTTCCCTATTCTCAGATACATTTTCATCCGGGAACGCATTGAGATTGTGCATGGACATGGCAGCCTGAGTTGCCTGTGCCACGAAGGCATTCTTCATGCCAGGACCATGGGTCTGAGGACCGTGTTTACGGACCATTCGCTGTTTGGGTTCGCGGATGCGGCGAGCATTCTCACCAACAAGCTGCTCAAGTTCATTCTCAGCGATGTCGATCACAGCATATGTGTGAGCCACACATGGTAAGAAGACACAAAACCAGTCTGCCGCGTCTCGCCATGGCTAACGCCCTCTCAATAGCAAGGAAAACACCGTCCTGCGCGCCTCGCTGGATCCGTTAATGGTCTCCGTCATCCCCAATGCCGTCGTGGCAGAAAACTTCCGCCCAAGAGACTCCCCATCCTCTCCCGGCGCAGCCTTCGCGCCAGACCCTTCGCCCCAACGCCTCGGGCCAAACGACATGATCACCATTGTCGTCATCTCCCGTCTCTTCTACAACAAGGGCACAGATCTGCTGACAGCCGCCATCCCCCGCATCCTAGAAACTCATCCCAACACGCGCTTCATCATTGCTGGCTCCGGTCCCAAAGCCATCGACCTGGAGCAGATGATTGAGCAAAACGTGCTTCAGGACCGCGTTGAGATGCTCGGCCCCGTGCTCCACGAAGATGTCCGCGACGTCATGATCCGCGGCCACATCTACCTCCACCCTTCGCTCACCGAGGCCTTTGGCACCGTCATTGTCGAGGCCGCCAGCTGCGGACTGTACGTGGTCTGCACCCAGGTCGGTGGTATCCCTGAGGTGTTGCCTTCTCACATGACGACGTTTGCGAAGCCGGAGGAGGACGATCTCGTCGTGGCGACGTGTAAGGCCATCACCGCCGTGCGAGCAGGCAAGGTCCGCACGGAAAAGTTCCACGAGCAGGTGAAGAAGATGTACAGCTGGTCCAACGTGGCTATGCGCACCGAGAGGGTATACGACGGCATCACGGGCACCATTAGCGAGGAGGAATTCTATGGCTTCGACACGGGCGGCTATAATGGCAGCAGGGTTCGCAACTTTGCGCTTATTGACAGGTTAAAGCGCTACTATGGGTGCGGCATCTGGGCCGGCAAGCTCTTTTGCTTGTGTGTCGTGATTGACTACCTGTTCTTTTTGTTCCTGGAGTGGTGGTTTCCGAGGGAGAATATAGACATTTGTCCCGACTGGCCGAGGAAGATGTTGGCGGATAACGGGAAGAAGGAAGGCCAGAGTAATCGGTCGAGCACGTCACAGGGCAGGGCTGGTCATGATTAAAGGGTGTCTTTTGGCGTGGCGTTTTATGGGGTGTACATTATTTCGAGGCTGGTTAGCCGGTTGTTGATTTTGGTCGTGCAACATTATGGCAGCGATTCGGCGTTGAGGGCGCAGCATATAATACATGGGCAGATATCTTGTTGTTCGTCATTTCTTTCATAATATCGTAACGCATATCATACTCACATCGTTTAAGCCAAACCCCTTTCCAGCAGTTCAACCAGTCTATCTGCGCTCTGGTATCCCCATCACAAAACACTCAAGCCAAAACATCGACTCATTCATGCAACTCATCTTGACCAGCAACACCATCAACGCATATCACCCTCGGCAGCCCAAACAGGCCTATACCCAACCAACGTCCACAATGCCCTCCACCACCCCAACTCCTCCGTCTCGTCAGCCCTCATCACATCCTCCCCAAACCCAGGCCAGACCGTCCTCGGCCCTAATCTCCACGGCGTCGGTGTCATCATCCCCGCCGGCGGTCGTCCCCTCTCCCCCCCGCCGCCGCGGCCGCCGCCCTGTCCCCCGCGTGCACTCTCCCCAGACACGGAGCTCGTGTCCGACGACGTCGTCGAGCCGCCCTCCCTCCTCCTCCTCCCGCCAAACAGCCAGCCGAGACGCGAAGGCCGCTTCCGGCCCCTGTCCACCCTGCGGACCTTTTTCGTCCGCAGCGAGTCGGCGTACACCAGGACCGTGGCCACCAGCACTCCCGTCACAACAAGCACCCAGTACACAAAGAACAGGCCCCCGCCGGCGGCGAACTGGCCAGCCATGGAAAACATGCCCGCCACGATGGAAAACGGCAACAGGACGCCCCCCATGTACGAGAGCCGGTCCAGCGCCCTCCTGTCCTCGCGCACCTCGCGCGCCAGGGCGTCCATCCTGGAGGCCGACGGCGGCGGCAGCTTCCGCTCCAGCCGCTGGAACTTGTCGTGGAAGCCCGTCACCATCTGCAGAAACGCCGAGTCCCTCCTCTGCGGGAGCAGCCCGCCCACCGCCTCGCCCGCCCCGCGCGTGTAGCGCCGGCAGTCGAGCGCGTTGTTCTCGACGCGCTGCGACATGATCTCGAGCAGGTAGTTGGCCTGGTTGGGCCCCCTGTCGACCTGCACCGTGGCGAGGAGCAGATGCCACTGCTGCAGCGCCACCTCGGTCGCGACCTCGTACACGCTGCCGGCCGCGCCGCCCTGCCCGAGGAACCGCTCCAGGAACGTCTGCGGGCGCCGGCGCTCCCTCCACCGCGCGTACAGGCTGTCCAGGGCCTCGACGGCGCTGGCGCCCTTCCGCCGGACGCTGTTCCTGCACGGCTTCGGACGCTGTTCCTGAACGGCTTCGTCGCGCGCTGCGCGGGCGACACGTACGGCGGGAGAACCGCCTCCAGCGGCCCGTCTATAATCATGACGGCTGGAGCGTCCCGTGGCATTCATTAGCATCGCGCGAATTCGTCTGCAGGTTGAAGAGACGGAAAAGGGGTTTCAGGGGGGACATACACATCTTCTCCCGCTCGCAACTCCACCACGACATCCGCCTCCAGTACCCGAATGCGCCGACGAGCACCCCGTCCCAGCGGTACAGCGTCCCGTCCAGGAGGTACGCCTTCCTCGCGTCCGGCGCCAGGCTGAGCACGTTCTCGTCCAGCATCCACCGCGGCTCCAGGAGCGGAATCTCGGAGCTCCGCGACGTCGGGACCCCCGCGGGGATGGAGAGCTCTTCCACCTGCGGGAAGTCGAGCTGGAAGAAGTGGACGCCGGCGTCTGCGGCCGCCTTGTTGCTCTGGTTCTGCTCCCCTTGGCGCTCCTTGGCCCCTTCTTTTCGCGTGGCCTCCCGCCGCGGAGGCATGTACCTCGTTCTGTAGACGTGGCTGTCAAAAAACCCGGGGTCAATGTCCAGCCGCACGGCCAGCTCAAACGCCAGCTTTGTGTGCAGGCCGTTTAGGATAAACATCTTCCACTGGCCGGGGTGCTCGTCATGATCGCGGGTGAGGAAGTCGTCTATCTGGTCCCAATTTGATAGTTCGATGTGGACGGGCTGCTTAGCGTCAGGCAGGATGAGGACGTTGGCGATGACTGTTGTAGGACAGGCGGTCTTGGTGCTGGATGCGTCTTCTTCTGCACTCATTTTTTTTCTTCCCTGTGAGAGATGGCCTGGGGGAGGGTGGATATTGGAATTGAAGGATGTCGTGGAACCTGACGAGGTTGGGTTTTGAGGGCAGTCATTTTGTGTGAGTGAGTGAGTTGGTGAGCGTTGCAATTCATCACGTGTGACATGCATCAGCCGCATGCAAGTGGTTGGACGTGCATTGGACTGAACACAATTGCGTGAGAATGCGGTAAAACAAAACATGAAAGTGAAGGCGAGAGAAAATTATTTTTCAACGTCAAGTATGTCATCCTACACGCTATCCACATCCCAAATTCCGAAGACCCAAAAGGCATCAATATAACCAGCCCATGCAAACGCTCTACAATAATCAAACAGTCCACTCTCGGTCGTCAAACTGGCCCGCATTCGATGTGGGATTCATTCTCACCAAGGGAAGGAAGGCGTCTTGCAAACTCTTCAAGACGCTCAATTCCTCGCTGCAACCCGTCTTCTTTTCACGACGCTGGTCGCAGTGTTCCCATCTCCGGCTAGTTCATCCTCATCCTCGGCGGTGTCATCTGCGGGTGTCGCAACACTTGCTGGACGAGTGGCAGAAGGCGGTGGTACACCGCGGTCCTTCTCCGCGCTACGAAGATCGCCAAGGAGTTTCTCAACTTCCACAAACATGCTCCGTGTATTCTTAACGACGCCGTTCTCGTCAACCCGATAGCCTACAACTTCCTCCTCCTCGTCCTGGGAACGTTTCAGGAATGCAGGACCAGGACCTCGATCAGGATCGGGGTTATACATGATGGCATTGCAGAACATGTGGACCAGCTCGCGTTCGAGTTGGGCAGAGTTGATGATTCCCTTTGGAGGGATGAGGTCTTCGGATATCGGAAGCCAAACACTTGCCGTGCCAGGGTCGCCACCAGGAAGGCTGCTTGCTGCTTGCAAGGCAGCTTTGTTCCCTTGCTTAATGGCAGACCGTATTGATGTGATATCTTGGGGCTGCAATACAATTTGCCGGTAGTTTGGGGCGTCCCTCTCGCGGACACCAGTAGCGAACATGTTGGCGTCGCGGTGGCTTGAGATCTGGTCGAGAGCCGAGGAGGATACCTTGGTGAAACCGCGGGTCCACAAGACTTGTGTCGGAGGTGCAGTAGGTACAGATGGTGAGTCTTGTCTTTTCCGTTTAGCAAGTCTCGACGAGACACTGCCGGGAGTTGCCATGTTCGTTCGACCATGGACACTTTCGTCTGCCGTGGTATCGCCCGTTTCCTCAATGTGCCGCGGGGTGAGAACTTCATGCTTAATCTTTGTGGAGCTGATTGGATGGTCCATGGCAAGCTCATCGGCTTGCGAAGCAACGGACTGGCTTCTCCTGGTCCCACTGACCGAGGGAGTCGTGCTCATTCTACGCCCTCCATGCGAGATTCTGGGTGGACGGCCCCTCGCCTTGACAGCGTCTGCCTTCAAGCCGCCCTTCGTCAAGTCTCTCTTTGAACTAGATCTTGGCGTATCAGACAGTATTGACGTATCACGAGGTGGCGGGCTAACTGGCTCATATGCCGGGCTCTCCGGTTCAGCTGTAATAGGTCGTGGCGTAGAAGGAGTAGAATGAGATGCCCATTTGGTGCCAAACCCGCGGGTGAGCGCAGCTATTGGAGTGGTGACACTGGGCGTACTCGGAGCAGCCGTAACCGGGCTGATCTTCTTGGCGTTTGGCGTGGCAGCCGCAGCCGCAGCCTGTGCTACCGCTGCTTGTCGAATAATGTGTTCCGGAATGGCTGGTCGTGGCGGCTGCGTATTATAGGAGGCATACGGCCTGTCCTTCTGCGCCAACGGCGCGGGGGATGCCGAGGGTGACGGCCGCTGTGTTTGCTGCTTCTGTGCAGCTTGGGCTGGCGTCCGCTTTTGAGGAGCTGCAACGGGTCCAGTGACACCCTTTTGCGGTGTTTGCGAGGCTGCTGCAATCGGTCTCGGCGCTTGTTGGGCTTGTTGTGCCTGCTGAGGTGGGAGAGGTCGGCTAGGTGGAATGACGGGTGTTGTCGAGATCGGTCGGGGATGTTGTTGTGGTGGTTGACCTTGTGATGCAGAAACGCCACCCGGTCGAGGAGGAGCGGGTTGTAACGGAGTAGACAGTTGTCCGGCATTCTGGGGAGCCACGAGAACCTGTTTTCCTGGAATAGGTCGACCCTGGGCAGCCACAGTCGGAGCTGGCACTTGGCCAGCATACTGTCCTTGTTGTTGTGGAAGCCGCTGCTGCTGTTGCGATTCCTTTGAAGCCCCAGCCGCCGCATTGGCGGGAGCCAAAGGCTGAGTCTGTCCCGCTGTTCCGGGAGTTTGAGGTATCGGGGGTTGATATGGTTTCTCCCATTTCAAAGTACCCGCTGTTGTCGCTTGCCCGGCGGCTGCCGCCGGTGTGGCCTCCTTCGGCTTGAGAGCGACAGTAGCGTCTGGACGTGGTGAGAGTGTCGGCATCGGAGGCTGGCCAGGCGGTTGCAGAACTCTGGATCCAGGCTGGGGCATTCCGGCCGGTGCCTGGAGTCCTGATCCGGCGGTAGTCGGAGGTTTTGGCGATGGCTGTGGCGGTCGGACTGGCGTCGTGCTCCCCGACTGCAAGTGACTCGGCGCTGCAACTGTTGGTTGCGTAGTCGAAGTTGAAGGAGGCCTTGGTGGATAAACTGGTGTGGTAGACACAGGTCTCTTAATGCCGCCAGCTTGCCCAGGGGTAGGAGTTGGCGGTTGACCAGGAATCGGACGACCATCCCGAGGGGCTAACATCGATGCGCCATTCTGGCTCGCCGCAGCCTTTGCCAATCTCTCCTTCTCGTTCTTTTCAAGAAACTGAATGTGTTTCTGAACGGTTGCAAACTTTTCTTCATCTTCCCTAATTTCCTTTACGATGGTATCCCGATATCTAGCGTATAGTCGATCCACCAAGGCCGGGACCTTTTCGATGTGCTCATAAGCGTCTTTTAGCGACGGCAACGGGGGACTCCCCAATTTCCTCTTCCGTGACGCCGGCGAAGCCGATGTATCTGCTGTATTCGTACTCGGACCTGCCGTTGCTGTCGTAGCATTCGTCGTTGTCGTCGTCGAGCCCGTCCCGCTCTTCACCTCCTCTCGCAGCAGCAGCAAAAACAGCTGCTGCAGCGCATCGGGAGCTAGCCGCGCCGCATCAAATGACTTATCGCTCTTGACAAGCGCATTGTTTCTGAGTAGTTCTGAAATCCGAACAAACGCTCCCGTGTCGGCCCCGTGTGTCAGTAGCGACTGGAAAAGGAAGAGCGACTCGAGGGGCGTATAAGCGGTCGGATGATTCATGCCCCGCGGTCCACCTCGCCAGTGACCGAGAGGACCTTCGCGCTTCGCAGCAAGATGAATCGGCGCCAGGGTCTGTGAAGAGTTTGCATCCCAAGGTTAGCTCTTGCTCGCGCCTCGACTACTTGCCATATGGAAGAGCGGTGCTCAGGGGACGGACATACGTCATGCACTCAGTGGTCGGATTCGTAAAAAACACGTGTTGATGACCGTGTTGAGCGACAACAAAGCCTTAACAGCGTCCAATCGGCAATTGCATAGGGTTGCCACGCGCTTTGAGGCTTTTTTCTGCGATGGCCTTTTCTCTGCCTTGCCGTAGTGTCCTTTTTTTTTTTTTGGGTTGCGACCGGCTGCCCAAAAAATCACGTGATACTGCTGACTTCGTGTTGCTTTGGTGTTGTACTTGGAGCGTTTGTAGGGAGAAGATGGAATCAACGGCCCAAGCGGAAAACAAGACGAAACGGCTAGGTATCACGTGACACCCATAACCGCTTACACCAACATCCGTGGTTAATGGGATCCTTAGCCTCTACACAGGTTTCAAGCACATTAGGTGCAGAATTAGACGCGACATTTGGAAATAACAGTACATTGTCACAAAAATGAGGCATGTCAGGAAATCGTAGTAATGCCTCCGAAGAGTAATATTCCCTAAGCTTCGGGTTGAGCCCATCCCGCGTGTTTATGCTAAACCCATGTAACGCCAATCCCAGTGGTATCATATCACTATAAAAAAAAGTGATGTCAAGAGCATCGGTTCTGGTTCCCTTCAGTTAGCTCTTCCAATCGCCACTCCCCTCATATAATAAGTTTGCAACCTAAAACGCCGTTGTCCCATGTCAAAGCAAATGAATCACCAGTGTGATACCTCCATCAAACGCTCAATATAGGAAAAGCAAGTATCTCGTTGATAACACATGAAACGAAATGAATGTTATGGAGACGAGGAGCTTGACGAGCCATCCGCACTGCGAGGTCGATCGTCACTGCTGGTGGTCTCAATTTCCCGATCCTTGGGCAGCTGGTTGGTAAGCCGCAGTTTTTCATCCAATAAAGTTACTAGCCTCTCCGAGTACTGGTCTAAAAGGCCACTGAGTACTGTCTCGTTCATAGCCTTGCTTCTGATGGCGCGATCGCCAAGCGCAGCAGCTGTGAGACGCAATTCCTGATCCAACTCTGTCAAGCCTTCAGCAGTAATGGGCTCAGCAGACGACAGTTTCTTTCTGTATGCACGCAGAGTGCGGCAAGCCTGCTCTGTTGCCATATTCAAAGAGCCGACCCCACGAAGATTTGATGAGGACTTCCTCTTGGCGACAGCAGACAAAACTGGCATGGAGGGCCTTCTACTAACTCTCGACTTTGGACTGGCAGGAGGGCTGTCACCCCGGTTAATCTCCGAAGGTCTTCTCCTTGATGGGGTGTCTTCACTGATTGCGCTGTCACTTGGGCTGGTTGTCAGGTTTCCAACCGGTGTTCGATTAATTGAGGGGGCGGCTCCAAGATTGAGCCGAGATGTTCGGCGGCGCAATGATCGTGGAGGTGACCGACGTCCGGCTGGCGATGGTGATGGACGTTGAAATTCGGCCAGCTCCGCCTTAGATAAAACCTTTCGCAACGTCGGTCGACCACTATTGTTGTTTGCCTCCTTCACCGGCGATGGATCCCTACTCATCGACCTCGGCGAAGGATCGTTTAGATCCAGCGTCCAAACCATAATCGTTCCATCCGAACCCACGCTGACAACTTTCCTCGTGCCGTCGTCATCTTCAACTAAAGAGACGCCGTTGATTGCTTCTGTGTGGCCCCATTCTCTGTCCAAAAATGCGCCTGAATTGGCGTCATAGAGTCGTATGGATTTATCAGTATTTGATGACCCCAGCAAGAAGTCAAGGTCCTTGGAGGGCCACTGGCCTACAAACAGAGAATCCAAAACGGCGGTTTCCACACCGCCCTCATCCATGCATTTAAAACAGAAAATTTGTCTGCCACTTGCCAAGTCATATTGATAAATGGACCGATCTAAAGAAGAAACAAAAATAGTCCTGTTGTCTGGACCCATGGTCATTGAAGTAGGTGATGACTTTAAAGAAATAACCTTGGAGGGAATAGCTGCAATAATATCAGGCTCTCCCTCTCGGGAGACGATGTCATGTACCTGCAACGTGCGGTCAAGTGAACACGTGATGACTTTGTTGTCTGTCGGGATGAGCACCTGGATAACTTTTGCAGCAAACTCAAGAGTCTGGAAATGCTCAATCCGACCGGTGGAGTCTCGGTGAAATAACTGGGCAGTCCGGTCTCTGCCACAGCAGGCCATAAGAAACTTAGACTCCTCATCATATATACTGATGCAAAGACAGTCTGACGAATGTGCCTTGATATCCAGAAGGTAGTCCTTGGAATCTACGTCGATGACTTTCACAATTCCCTGACGATCCGCTGTCACTAGTAGCTTTCCGCTCTTTGTGGTGCGGGCGCTAGTGAGCTGGTTTGGCAAAGTGAGCTCATTGTCTGAATCTGAATTGTCGATAGGGACATCGAGAGTAAGCTTGACCTGTCCATCCACGTCCCAAAACGTTACGTTCCCTGACGCAGACCAGGTGACGAAGGCAGCGTTTGCCTTGTTCGGTCGATATAATGAATGAACGCCGATGATGGGCTCCCCATGCCCGGGAATCGGGATATGAGCGACAGCTTCGACATGTTGTCCGGGTAAATAGTCAGGGTTCCAAATATCAATTGACTGCTTTGAATCAATGGTCACCAACTTATCCGGAAGAAAACCGAGAGCGACAACACCAGCCGATGTTTGGCTGGTCGTCAAAACACTCGCTGCGCAGCCATCCATGACGGCTTCAACATCAAGTGTTGCGAAATGGCCATCTTTGCCTCCAACATATGCAACACTGTTACGAATTGTGATTGTCGTGATGGTGAACTCCAGGTTCAAGACTTTTGTCAATTTCATCTGCCTATCGTCGTCATCGAGAATGCAGACATCACCAGCCTCCGTGCAAAGAATAAGACTCTTGCCGTCAACGGCAGCACAACTAAATGTGGCCTCTAACAAGCTGCCCAAAAGCATATTTCGGCCAGGCAAGGTCTTTTGTGATGTTGGGGTGGATGGCGTCCCATCGCCCGAAAACTTGGGCTTGGTCGGCGAGACAGAGGCTCCATCCTCAATTTTCCACGCCTTGACGTGCCGCACACCCAAGGTAATGAGGCTGTTACCAATCCAAACCATGTCTCTGATAAATGAGGTGCATCTGTTTTGCTGAAAGAGCTTAGCAGCTCCAGTTCGTGGGTCAATCTTCCAGACGAAGAGGAAGCCATCGTTGGCGGCACCGAGCGACGCAAGATATTTAGAATCCTCAGACCAAGCGACCGCCGTGACCCCAAAGGCATGCTCGCTGATAGAGACTAGCGGCGTGTCCGACGACACGTCCAGAAGGCTGAAAATCAGAACCCGGGGGGCATATCCAGTCTCACCCACTGCCAGATACCTGCCGTCCGGACTCAAAGCTAGGCACGTAGCAGCTTTGATCCTCTCCCGGCTTGTCCACGTCCTGGAACCGCTTGGCAGATCAGTCGCCCAGTCCACCGGGCTGTAACCTGAATCCCTACAGTTGGGAGCCACTCGATTGCGGCTGTCGTTGGCTTTAGGCGTCGTTGCAGTCGGAGTCGAAGGAGCATTCTGCGAGCTTGATACTGCGTACATGGGCACAGCTGTAGGACGAGCTCTGTAGAAACGTTGTGAATAAAGCTGGCCCTCGACATCCACAACCACAACGGCACCCCCAGCAATGTAGGCAAAGGAGGAATTGACAGTATCAAAGCCCGTCGGTGAGCGACAAGTGGTGCCGACAACTCTCCTAAGGGACAGCCGCGGCTCGTGCATCGAACGGCCACGCATTAGGGATCTGGACGGCCTTGATAGAAATGGTGAGTTGGACGGCGTCAGCTTCAGCCGGTTGTTGGAGGGAGTAGCAATCGCAGCCATCTCTTCGCCATTGACTCTTTTGAGAGTCACCCGCGCAGCTGCCGCTTAGGAATAGTACAGTGGGACCAAGGGTCTCATCAAACAAAAGGAACCTGACGGGTTAGCCGAGCAGCAGCAAGCACTCAAGCAAGGCCACCGGGGAGAGGCGAGACAAGGCCCAGGGAGCGGTCTTTGGTGGTGTCGCAGAAAAGCAGCGTACAGGATGCTATTCTAGGCAATTCTCGGTGTAACTGGCGTATGCTTCTTTTGTTCGATAGAAAACTGGCCGGCGGTAGAAATGGGCGTTGGTGCGCATGTATGTGTGCTTTTTACCATAGACGAAGGCGAGCGAGGAGAGCGGCGGTGTAAGTCAATGTCTAGCAATCTCCGCTCCAGTCACACCAAGAGAAGCGAAAGCTGGGCGGCGGCGGCGGTCCAGGTCGAAGAGCAGCACTCAAAGGAGCGGGAGGAGCATCAGGCTCGCTCGAGGCCACTTGCGCATTCGAACTGTCAAGAAGACTTGCCGAGGAGGAGAAAATTGACGAGTGAGCGTACGGAATACCTAAGTAGGTCTTTCCTGTCAGCCAATGTCGGGTATATTGCAGCTCGGCGCCCAAGCCTAGTCTTGCTCAGCGCTGTCGACTAGACAACGGCACAGGCTTGAGCATTGAAATGAAGCTCAAAACTCACAACGATTGTGGGCGGCTGACGGCCGGAAAATTAAAACATTAAAAAATAAAATAAAAGAGAGGGACGATGAAGGCGTGGCACTAATTGCCACTTCTCAAGCTCACCAGACCAGATGTAAATAAAGAAGGAAGAGAAGAGAGAGAAAAAAGCCGAGCCAAGTCACGTTGACGCGGACTGGGCAATTGCCTGACCTGCAGCTGCTGCAGCTGCAGCGCCCGCCCGATTTGTTACGGTCACGGCACTGCGCAGCAGAGCTCGACTGGCCAGGGCTCATGGGGTATCTGGAGCTACACGCACCCGGAGGCTAGGGACCCGCCTTGGGCCAGGGCTGGTGGGAGCCAGAGGGGGAAGGGAAGAGAGGACCCCGGAACACAGCAAAAAGATGGATTTGATTGCCGTCACGGACAGGGACGAGCTGCGAGAGCTTCGGGTTGGTCTGATGGGATATCAATATTGCACAGTCTTCCACACCAAAACCCAAACTGGACGGCTGTGCCCCGCTTCCGCGAGCCAACGGCCAATCAAACATCGCAATCGCCGAGTTGGCCGGGGTCGCCATTGCCCCTGTTGCCGGGCCACCGCACCGAGATTGATGTCGCGAGCCTCATTGGAGAATTGGACAATGGGCACGCGTTGGCTGTCTGGTAGTATTCCATTCTCCGCACGGGGTAAATATCACTGACATTGTCCATGGTGCTGTTGTTCTACCGGCACCTGTTTACAAGCTGCTCCGTAGTCCATACAATATTCCGTACTGGCTAAGTACTCCTTACATACTACTATACTACCAACTGTTCATCACCGCGATGCAAGAATCATTCAAGATACTACTTCCCCTTTTCTCCTCCTTTCTCAATAAAACACACAATTGGCGATCCAACATGCTCCAACCCACCCCTTGCATGCTTGTCGTCCTCACGAGTTGACAACACAAAACCGCCCACCTCCTGAATCGGCGCCCGCCAAACCTCCATGCAAGCAACAGCCCAAATATCTCCAATGCCCAAACTCCACGCGCAAATCCTAATTAGCCCTGTCGCCGCCGCCGCCCGTGCACACAAGGGCACATGAGGATGCGCAGCCAGGTCGTACCGAAGGCACCCCAGCCCATCATAGCCCTGTCACATCCCCTTTTGGTGAACCGCTCGTCATCAGACCGGGGTCGGCAAAGGCAATATCGTTAATTTTAAAAAATGAGCACTACTACTACCCTTACTGTTTCTGCAGCAGACTGATTGCTTCAGATTCCTGAGAAAAGGGGGGAGGGGGTGCGCATTTCTAATTGGCAGGCCTCGTGCGAGATTTGAACGATGCTATTGATAGAACGGAGTACGGAGTAGAAGTAGAGAATATTGGAGCGACCAACTATTGGTGTTACCAAAACGCCCAGCGTTACAGTGGCTTTGTCGCTGATACGGCTTGCCCAGGATTCCGCGATGAGGTGAGATTTGCCCATCTGGGTAAGAGAGCGTAACCACTTCTGTCAGATGTCGCAAATAACATCTATCCAGCATGCAGGGATGGATGGTTGTAGCACAGTCGTGGTAGATTGGCTCGTACAAGCCAACGTAATCAACCTCGCAATTCGCAACATTGAATGTAGTCTTGCAGGTTACTCTGTACTCCATGGCCCATAGTACTATACTGTAATGCTCATGTTCTAATTTCATGTACAATGCGAATGTCGACGCAATGCTACTTGCTTCGACCGAGTACAAGCACGCATCATTAGGGTTCATGGTTACAACATATCCCCCATCGTGAAGCTCCGTCTTTCAGCATCGCAAACCATAATTCAACACCACGCACCGATATATATACACCGATTAATCATGTACTCGCTATCCAGAACTTATAATACCTCCCATCATTTACACCACCAACCCCTCCTCAGAAGCTTCATCCCTCTCCAACCTCTCCAGCCCACTTCCCACGGCCCCATACACTCTCAATGGCACCGAAATATCAAAGCTTTCACACGCCAGATTCTCTATTGCCACAAGCACGAGCCCACCCTTTTCATCCTGCGAAATCTGCTCCAGCAGCGGATGAGGAACCTGCAGCTCTCCAAGATGAGTTGTATCCGATCCCTGGTAGGGGACCACGAATTCCACGCGGATCTTCCACTCGAGATTGACACCTGTGGTGACGAATTCTGGGGTAGCGGAGATGGGAATTGTGGGCGTGAAGACGACGCGGCGCGAGTACATGGCTGCTTCGGAAGAGGCAACGTACACTCTTCGCGTAACTCGCTGTAGGCTTGACTCGGAGCGGATGGCCAGTGAGGAGTCTACCTTTTCTGATGTTTCAAGTGTTGCGTGAACTGCGTAGCATGGTATATCGGCGTCGGTGAAGTCAATGGCCATGGTAACAACTTCGCCTAGGCGGTACGCCGGCCGGGTGAGCATTACTACGCCAACTCGTTGGCCGTTGCGTGCAATTTCAAAACGATTGGCGCTTTGTTGGCCGTCTCCGGCCATGTTGCTTCTCATGATTGCTAGATGGATGGCTTCTTTGGCCGTACCGACTTCCTCATATGTCGATGGACGTCTTTGGGCAGTCGACTCTGTTGGGGACAGCAGTGCATTTCCCGTCGAGTCTCGCCGCCTGGAAGCCAAGTCATCCACGTAGTTGAGGAATTCATTCATTGTTGCTGGAGGACCAAATGAGGCCCTTGATTTGTGCATTCGAACATGCTTGCCGAGGCTCTTGACCTCCGCCGCATCTCGGAGCAGTATATACGGGCTCATGAGATCGTGACCAAGAATTTCACCATGGCTATTGACACTGCCCAATACTCGAAATGGAATCTCGACAGACCTGACTTGTTGCTCCTTGGCACCTCCGGCTCTCTGCGTGCCAATGACCAGGCTATATGATATCTTTATTGTTTTGCCTTTGTGACTCGGGGGTAAACCCTTTGGCAGCCGGAAGGTATACTCGTATGACCGGCTCTCTCCCGGAGCAAGCTGTAAGTCGACAAACAGGATAGACTGAGGCGTGCTGAGCAAGGGGATAGACTTAGAATTGACAGCTCCGCGAATCTCTTTGATTGTGCTCAATTCTTCCCCGCCGAGGAAACCCAGGGAAGTGCTAATGTTGCCCCAGCCAAAACTTCCCAAGAAGCCAGTGTCTCGTTTCGTTTGCTCGAGGCCAACAACACCACCACCTCGTCCGCCTACTGCACCCTTCTTCTTCACTTGCTCGAAAGGACCAAGACTAATTAGCGAACCATCCAAAATGAAGGACCCTTGGATTTGGGCATAACCCATCATTAATGACTCTGGCATTTTCTGCTGCTGCGGCGACATTCCAGAGCTCCGTCTGGCGTGTGGTGAACGGCCATTACCCCGTGCTAGCGGCTGCGTCACATATTCAGATACCAGAGTTTCTGACGAATTGTTGCTCATAGAATAAAACTCTCCACTGCTCCGCGGTGTGCCCCCAGGTATCGTATTGCTCGCCAGAATCCTTGCCGCTGGTCGGTCCACGGCGCTTGGCGGTTGCGGCTGCTCCTTTAACCGCACGGCCAAGCCGTTACTCTCGTGAGGACTAACTTGCCTCGGACTAAGAAGCCCATCGGGAGATTTGAGATTCGGACTAGCAGCCTCTGAATTTCTGGTTGAAGGGCCTGCAGGGAATCGAAAGTTTGGCATTTCTCGTCTCGCTGGTGATTTCGGTGCTCGTCTTTGGCCACCAAGCCCGGGCGTATTCGGCGCAGTGGAAGCTCCAGAGAGCCTCCCAAAGCGATCAGGAGGATATGATGCATTGAAAAGCGGGGAGCTCATATGTCGAGGGAAGAAAGGCGCTAGCCACACGGTCAGTCCAACTTGTATTCACGTCAACATGCTTGAATGCAACAACATACCTGACTGTGGTCCCGGACCTGGCGACGTCGCGCCTTGTGCTGAGATTTGTAAACTCGCCGCACGACTGTGACCCCGATGCGGCCGGTGCGGCCTTGATGGGGATTCATTCCGCTGAACATGATCCTCTGCATTATTCGCCGACCCAATCGATACAATGGACAGTGACCGCTTGTGTGCGTGGCCCGGCCGCCAATCCCCGCCGCTACCGGTAGCCTGTGGCCATTGTACTGAACCCGATCGACTATGAGAATTGGTTGATGAAACGCTAAGGGACAAAGCAGACCTCCGATGCCCTCTTGTCGCGTTAGTCGGAGGCGGCGCTGCCAGGCCGACATTGGCCTTCGCCCGAGCCTGCAGCGGCACCGCCAATCGTTGTCTTTCTCCATGTGGCTTCTGCTGCTGTTGGGATTGCTGCTGTTGGCGTTGCTGGCTCGGTGTCGGGGCGACGTTCTTGAATGTTACGGTGCATTTGACGTCCTCGCCGGCGAAGACGGTCTGGTCGCGCCAGCGGACGAAGACGCGGATGTTGCTGGATATGTCGGGAGGCATTATGTCGAACAAAGCAGAAGAGGACTAACGGACAATACAAAGAGCCCCTCGGCGAGGGAAGGGAACATGCAATCAACCAGGCAATGGCAAACGCGGCATCGCGGCCGTCGATATCGAAATAGAGAGGTGTTGTCCAGAGATGATGGCCAGGAGTGCTGGGATCAAATTGATGGCTCCCGCCAAACGTCACATGCTTGCATGAGCTGACATCTACGGGACATTTGCAGGGTCAGGTGAAGGTGGAGGTCAACTGGTGGCCGAGCAGGGACCAACCAGCGGACCAGTGGACCATCATGCGGGCCGACTTGGACCGTCATCAACATCCAAACTTCCATCAACAACAATACTGACCGGTTGTGTCGTTTCTCGAAAATATTTAAAGCAACTTGAAGTTATATCTGCTAACCATGAGCTTTATGTATTAACGGTCAAACATGCTGGATGCTGTTTACTTGTTGATGAAAAGAAAAAGGCACGACTGCCACATTTCAATATCTGATTCATTCCCAGCAGATACTGACAGTCAATCAATATTGGCGCCTTGGCGGATTACACTGGGTCAAAGTATTTTTGCTTTGAAACCAACCCCCCTCCTCCCTCAAAAATGCTCGAAACATTTCATCGACCCGAACCGAACCCGAACAGGTATTATCGGAAGCATATTCCCACAGCATTTAACTTTTCAGTCCTAAAGTCATTGGCTGCAATCCATCTGGTACGATTAGTCTGACAGCTCAATCACATCATTGTCACCCTCGCGCTTAAGCGCCTTAAATGAGTGACGTCCATTCATCTCAACCACGTCGTCGTCCGTAAGGTCAATAGTCCGCTTGAAGCTCAATGCTGGTGTTTCCTTGGACCAGAATTAGCCAACCGGTGGACTATTGCATATGCCACGTCATGACGGACACAAGACCTAGTGGCCATCGAACATACCTGTTTTACTTCCCTCTCCCGCTTAATGCGGAGAAACTCCTTCGCCAAGTATCGAACATGTTCGTCGGACATGGAGCCTAGTTCCGAGGTAATAAATGACTCGTCTGGTGGAGGCGGTGTTTGGGGGATTATCAATTCCCGCTGCAGTGCAGCTGAACGACCTTAGCAAAGTCCAAAAATGCAGGCAGATTTGAGCAAACATTGCGTATACATACCCCGAGACCGGTATCGAAAAATGTACTTGCCGAGGGGTGTAATGTCATGTGCGGCCGCACAGCTGGGGGTTGGAGCGAGGATCTCTTGAGTGTAGCTGGGCTACTCAGTCAAATTTCAAGTTGTATCTTGCCTACTGATAACTGACCTCGTCCCATGGGATAGTTCCTTGCCCTTCATTGCTTTTTCGGCCAAAACGAAGTCAGAATTTCTCCATGGTACCAGAGGCTGCATGACCCTCGTTGCTCCAGGCTTGCAGGTCGCAAGGTTGACTACAATGCAGCCTAAAGATTTGGCTCTTCTGGAGTCACGTTCCACCATCGCTTGAGTTGTCTCTTCCACTGTAAAGGCAAGAACCGTGTTAGCCTCAGATGTCAATATCCAAAGACTCTAAATGGAAGATTATGAAGGCACGTTAGGCACAAACCTAGAGAAACGGGCGAGAAGGAGAATGATCGTCGGATACAATGCCCAGCCACATCAGACTGAATAATCTGGTCTTTGATATCAACAATCATGGGAGAGCCCAGCTGACGAGTTGAGCGACGGTATACAATCTGCCCCCCAGCGAACATGCCATCAATAAATACGGTGAACAGGATTGCATTCGTTTCGGAAGTTGTCCTCTCTGGGGAGAGAGTGAGCCTAACCAAGAAGCTCTGGTTCGATTTGGACTCTATGTAGCAAATATGCGGTGGAGGACTCGGCGTGCATTCATCGGTCGGATCGAGTGGAGGATACTCTTGCGCAACTTCTCCATTGACATGGACAGTGATGCTAATGCCGGGAACACTGGTGATGACAGCCATTGTGCTGGCCATACAAAACGACGGCGCTGGCGATTGACGATGATTTTGCGAGGGCGGGTTGATGCACAACTGCTCCAAATGGTTTGCTCGGTGGGAGTTTGTCTGCAAATCATCAAGCCTCGAGCCTGGCACCTGCAAGTTAAACGGCCCTGAGCAAGATGGGTGCGAGTTGAACGCTGGACGACGCACAGCGGTACCTGGTTTCGACTTACTAACCGCACGATCTAACGGCTCTGTCTGTCTGATCAAGTGACTTCCCAAGTGACTTCCCAAGTGCCAATCCAAAGCACTGGAGTGCTTGAGCAAGCATTGAGTGCTTTAGCAGCCTTGTCATACTGCCAGCTGCAAGCAATTGCCTGAGCAAGCGCGCATGTGCCCTGCCCCAATCAGCGTGCAGTTGGCAGCGCGTTGGTTGATGCAACTTTGGAATGAGAGTGGTGCATGGTTTAAAGATTGAGCTGGCGCTGCCGGGGCCTCGGGGGAGTCGAATAGTTGTTGATCCGAAGCTGACATTGAAGTTGTAGAATATTCAAACAAATAAGCAGCAGTATCTTATTCAGAGCCTAGGTTCCTTGTATATATCAAGGTCCCGTACGGAGTACAGTGTACACATAGCACACGTGTCCAATGACGAGTAACGTATGCCTTCCGAGTGCCGAACGCCGAGTGTCGCAACACCAGACCAGCTTTTGCCATCTGCATTCTCACTTTCTCACCAACTTATTCCCGGGCTCTTGATGCTCCAACCCCCAACCCAGGTGCCGTCACTTACACGACAGCCAATGAACTTGTCTGTTGTTAAGGCTAAATTACCATTGTGGAGAAATCGTGGAGCGAATCTCGTGGAGCGATCTTGTCATTTCCCAGTCCCGACTCCCGACACAGCATATGTAAACGACCTTATGCGAGAACTTTTGACCCACAGCCTCCAAGTCCTTTGCACCTTGTGTAGACTGTCAGGCATCTCTCGCTGTGAGTGACATCGAATTCATAAACATCTTCCGAAGCTACTTGGCCCCAGTGAACAAAGTTGTCCCCGGCCGCTACGGAGTGATTCTGGGACGCTGGATTATCTTAGGCCGACCTCGAGCTGGTACTCCAATGGCAAACATCCCTCTGGCCGTCTCGGCTCAGTTCCTGTTCTTCCAGATTCGGCCCACGCACAGATGGGAGCCAGAACTATTGGGGCAAATAAGCGTGGCGTCTTTGCAAGCCTCTCCATTGCCACATGGCCTCCGTCATCCAAGCGCCGGATAGAAGGATGATGTAGATCTTGGACATGCCGACCATCCCACGAGCCTAAAGTCAAGCATGCAGGCCATTGCCTAGCCCTGCCCGCAAATTTTCCGGCGAAAAGACCCTCAAAGCCACACGGTCGAATTGCATCTGGGGCTCAGTTCCGAGCATGCAGAGGAGAAACAATCCAGTATCAAGTCTAACAGCCCCAAGAGAGGACGCAGAGCATCAGGAGGAGGGTGCTTGGTGTCTGTGGCAGTCCTGGCATAAAATTAGAATTACCAAATTCCGATCCCATTCCGAGTGTCTCCAGTCGCCAGACTTTATCTGAACCCTCAACAACGGTTATTCCGAGGACACGAGACGAGGGGGTGGCTTGGATGCCGGGATCCAGCTCCACAATGCCTCCAGGATGGGCATCCCCAACGCCTAGTTGGTTGTTGGTTAATTTGCAGGAGATCGGGTATCGTGTATGTATTGTTTGAATGGGGCGGCATCAAGGACGTGGAATGACCGAAACCACGTTCATGGAGCTCCAGTTCGGTGAAGACTGCGGGTCCCTTTGTTTCCAGCCATGCGAAGGCTCGAAGATTGGTCCCGTGCAAGCTTGGCTCTGCTGAAAAAAAGCCAGGTCTTCCGGTGGACCGGTGGTGTCTGAGGCGCGAGAGGTTGCACGCCAACGGAATAGGATATTTTTTGAGCACCTGGGGGACAGGTCGCGGGAGAAACAGGAGCTAGGGAACGATTGCTCAAGTGGCGTACGCGACCATGTGTCCCGAAGGATATCCTTTCTTTGCCATCCGTCCCAAGAAGGGCTGGGTGTGCACCTCGTCGTGCTCTAGGGTTAAATCGCTGTGATCAATCAGCGAGTACGGAGTAGTCATGCAGTAATTGGTGCCAAACATGTCTGGTCACAGTAGCGTTCATGCACTTGGAAATATCATTGTCGTGAAAGCGAGGAGTCGAGAACGAATTTCATCAAGGCGGCTCCCCCAGGCCTAGTGACGGGATTTGTCAAACAGATTCAAAGGCCGACTGCGGGGGAGACATGTTCGGGCTTTGGGAAGGAAGGCGGGGCGAAGGCCCGAAGAGGGTGTTATGTTGTATGCCGCGTGCCGCGTGCCAGTTGCTCAGCAATCTGCCGTTGGGGACATCCATGTCCGTCAATCACGGCCGTGGAGCGCCGTGGAATGGCCGCTGGCTTGAGGGGTAGTATTGACCTAGCTAGGGAGGGACGGCCAGTATTAGAAGTCAACTGGTGCCTAGCCTACGGACATGGAGCCTAGCGAGCAAGTTACCGTGGTAGCGTCGCAGCGCGTCCTAGAAAAAGACCCGGCGGGATAGCTGTGAGGGTACTCCGTACGGAGAAGAGTTCCGTGTGATTCGTTGGCGGGCCAGCGCTTGAGCTGCATCTGCCTCCTTAGACCTAGCGCGGTTCCGACGCGGAAAGTGGGCAACTGTTGCATGTATTTTGGGAGATGGCAGGAAAATATGACGAATAACGTTCTGGCGCCGTGAGACAGCTGTTGCTACGTCCTTTGCAGCTTGCACTCATTCTTCGTTTTTCATTCCGCATCCCTGTACTCCGTATTGGGCTATGTATCAACTCCGGTTCCAAAGTACCAAGCTTCCAGCATTGAAGGCGGGGTGGCGGGGTGTGGCAGTGGCTAACTGGTGCGGGGCACACTCCGGTCCAGTCACTTCACGACTTGCAATCCATCACGGTAAAACGCCACCACCGCCATCACACAGCTTACCTCCCAGCTTCCACTCCGTACAGGGGGCCTGTTACGTAGTTAAGACGGAGTATGGCCTCGGTGTCGATGTCTGCCGCTGCTACGCAGATGCTCCACGGCCCCGATTCCCCCGCCCTTACCTGACTACTTAAAGTACAGAGACCCGCTGGTTCCTGATTCCTGAATACCCTCCAACTACCTCTTTCCTCTCTTGAACCTTTTCTTTTCTCTATCCCAGTCAGAAACACCCTGGTTGTCTCTTTCAAGATACCCCTTCGAGCACACTGTTTAATCAATACGACCAACTCGAGCACACGAACCGTCATCATGACTCTGACCGTCGAGCTCAAGACCCCGATCACGGGCCCTTACCAGCAGCCCATTGGTCTGTGAGTGGACAGGGCTCCCAATCTGCATGATTCCAGTCACAAAGAGTCCGAGAAGCTAACCGCCATATCTCCCCCAGTTTCATCAACAACGAGTGGGTTGAGGGTGTTGACAAGAAGAGATTTGAGGTCATCAACCCCGCCACTGAAGAAGTCATTACCTCTGTCTGTGAAGCCACCGAGAAGGATGTCGACATTGCTGTCGCCGCCGCCCGCAAGGCTTTCGAAACCACCTGGAAGCAGGTTACTCCCCAACAGCGATCCGTCTTGATGATCAAGCTTGCCGATCTCGTTGAGAAGAACGTCGACCTCCTCGCCTCTGTAGAGTCTCTCGACAATGGCAAGTCCATTACCATGGCCAGGGGTGACGTTGGTGCTGTTGCTGGCTGCATCCGATACTATGGTGGATGGGCCGACAAGATCGAGGGCAGGACTATCGACATTGCCCCCGACATGTTTCACTACACCCGACCAGAGCCCGTAAGTTTGACATGTGCCTTTTGAAACGTTGCTGGATGCCAGTTGGAAAGAAACAAGGCCAGGGAGAAAACTGACCTCTTTGCCATAGCTCGGTGTTTGCGGCCAAATCATTCCCTGGAACTTTCCGCTTCTCATGCTCTCCTGGAAGATTGGTCCCGCACTTGCCACTGGCAACACCATTGTCATGAAGTCCGCCGAGCAAACTCCTCTGTCAGCGCTCGTTTTCGCCAACCTGATCAAGGAGGCTGGTTTCCCTCCCGGTGTCTTCAATCTTATTTCTGGTTTCGGCAAGGTTGCCGGTGCCGCCATCTCCTCCCACATGGACATCGATAAGGTTGCCTTCACTGGTTCCACCGTCGTTGGCCGCACCATTATGAAGGCCGCTGCTTCATCTAACCTGAAGAAGGTCACCTTGGAGCTTGGTGGCAAGTCTCCCAACATTATTTTCAACGATGCCGATATTGAGCAGGCTATTTCATGGGTCAACTTTGGCATTTACTTCAACCACGGACAGTGCTGCTGCGCCGGTAGTCGAATCTTTGTCCAGGAGGGCATCTATGATAAGTTCCTTGAGGCCTTCAAGAAGCGAACTCAGCAGAACAAGGTCGGAGATCCTTTCGCCAAGGACACCTTCCAGGGTCCTCAGGTCAGCCAGCTCCAGTACGACCGCATCATGAGCTACATCAAATCTGGCAAGGACGAGGGCGCCACCGTTGAGGTCGGTGGTGAGCGCCACGGTGACAAGGGGTACTTCATCCAGCCCACCATCTTTAGCAATGTCCACGCCGATATGAAGATCATGCAGGAGGAAATTTTCGGCCCTGTCTGCTCCATCTCCAAATTCAAGGATGAGGAGGAAGTTATCAAGTTGGGCAACCAGACGGCCTATGGCCTTGCTGCTGCCATTCACACCAAGGATCTCAACACTAGCATCCGCGTCAGCAATGCCCTGAAGGCTGGAACCGTCTGGGTCAACTGTAAGTCAATACAACTCAAGTACTTGAAATACGACTTGGAAACTAACGCGCACTCTCTGCCACAGGCTACAACATGCTCTCACATCAACTGTAAGTCTCCCCCCCCCCCTGGATCACTGAAGTGGTTTGCGATAGTACATGCTGACGCACTACGCACAGGCCATTCGGCGGCTTCAAGGAGTCCGGTATTGGTCGCGAACTTGGTGAGGCTGCCCTTGCCAACTACACCCAGAACAAGAGTGTTGCTGTGAGACTTGGTGGTGCCCTCTTTTAAACGCGGCTGGTGGGAGAGGAATGACTGTTTGAGGATGTATGGATGATGGGATGGGTAATGACAAAATGTAGGAGAGAAACATCTGCGCGTGACGAAATTGAATGAATCCATCAGGCTAATGTGCTTGAAACATATGCACCTATTGTGACCTTGCGTAGACTGGAGTGGGGTCGGTCGACAGTCGGAGTTCGAAGACTTGCATAGAGTAACATGTCTGGTTGGCAAGTGGCACGTTTTGGCTTCTTAAGTAGTACATGTGCATATCTGCATAAGCACTTGGGTGTGGCATGATGAGATTGCCAATGCGCCGACAAGCCGCCATCATGACGGTGTCGTTTCTCCTGACTGCACAACACTCCTTTCATTCATGATTTCAACTGTGCGAAAATAGCCCTCTTTTTCCTCAATAAAAGTCTCTCCTAGCCATCTACTTACTACCTACTAGGTAGGTCTACCTCTACCTCCTACAGCGTCCAGCTACCACCCCCAGCCATATTCCAGACATATTACCAGTGCCATATTTTTTGCTATTTCTGTACTTGTAAGCCGCAGGGTTTGTGTACCTGTCCGCGCAGAAAGCGTAGCATGTGCAGCAGCAAATGTGCATTGCTGCAGGCCGGGATATGAGTGCAAGCTGGATTCACGGACATGGCCCGAAATTACAGGCCTCCCATCACTCCTCACACTACATACGCGGGTAGGACGGCCGAAGACGCCGGGCATGATTTGTTTTGTTCTTATTCATTTATTTAATTTTAGAAACAGGGTCTCGATTCGATTTTCTGTTGGGGGTGATGCGTTCGTGGCGTGTTGCTGATGGTTTGTTTGGTCCACAGAGTGTACGGCGGCATATGTACAAGGGCTGAAGCGCAACTGGTGTTGCACCAGAAATTTCTCAAATTTATTGAAAGGCACCGATATAAATTGGAGATATTTCAGCCGCTGCTTATCTGCATAGTCTCTGTGGAAGGGCCTTGGAAATGCCAGGGCAGCCCTTTGGGACCTCATGATGCATATGCCCAGGACGGAGCGGCGAAGGTGATCATCGTGATAGGACAATGGCCGGGAGGGAGAAATCTGTCAAATTGCGAAGGCAAGGCTATCTGCTGATAAATAGATATCCACTATTGGAGACATGGATAATGCGGCAAGATGCTCGTGTGAGAATGTGAATGTCGCGCTACGCTTCCAAAACTAAACAACCGCCGTTTGTCATTTTAAAAACGTCAGGTCGCTTCCTATGCAAACCCTGCTCTAGAAACTCGTGATCTAGTGCCCATTCCAACGTCCGTGGAGTATCTGCAGCGCGCGACAGGCGCATAAAGATGCCCGCGTAAGCCAGCGGCAGGTCATGAGAAAGAACCCAATATTTTGGTCCCCCGAGCTTTCGGTAGAGTCCCAGGCCGCCTTTGGCACCGAAGCTGGTTTGCTTGCCGCCGATGTGGCTCTCCTTGTTGCCGTGGAGCATAGCGAGCTTGCGAGTCTTTGGCTCTGAGTTGAGGAAGGCCTGAAAAGGGCCTTGGTCCAATAAGGTACCGTGTGGCGAGGTCAAGATGGTTTCATGCACCTCGGTGCCGTTGTCTTCCACGTGTGTCCAGATAATAGCGGTAGAGAAGTTCATCTCGCGGTGTCCTGGGAGGCGCAGCACCGCGAGCCACGGGGGGAGGCATGGCCCGGGATGCAAATCTGACACGCGCCACGAGGTAGCTGCAGGCTTGAGATCATGGATGACGGCGACGGTACAAAAGTGGTTCCAAGGTCTGATGATTCGAGCTGCCTGGGGAGTTGCAATCACGGGCACGTTTCCGTGGAACTCTCTGAGAGTGGCCTCATGCAAATGATCACAGTAGTGAAAAGAAAGCAGGATGGCGTCAATGTGTCGAGCGGGATTGAAGACTTCATTAGACATGCGTCTATTTAGGACGTGCTCTGAGGCCAAGTCTTCAATCTGGCGAGCAGCCGCCTCTACGGCATCGGCTGGGGGGAACGCAGGGGGCTGTGGGAAACGCAGGAGCTGAGGGCAAGTCGATGTGGATGAACCAAGATCCAACAAGATCAGCTGGTCCTACAAGCCATGGCTCTAGGACGATATGGAAGTAAGCCCTCCCCGATTGCTTTTGGTCAGCCCATGGTCGTGGCATGGACAACAGCCAGGAGTTGTGCCCGTTCAGGGACACGAGGAGCGGCCGCAGGCAATCGGGGGACGAGGTGAAATGCTGTTCAAGACATTTGGTGTGAGCTTCTTCCATTGAGATGGGAAGGGCGTATGTATGTCTAGGTAGTGGAGGTCTAATGGTGTGAATCTCGAGTAGCCCGTTGGTTGGATGAGCAAATTCAAAAAAATCTGGTCCGAGTCAAGCTTTGTCCAACAGGGCGAGGGCGGGCCAACAGCATTGTTATATTATATTCCCGACCTGGACTCACCTTTCGGCCGGGGTCTCCCTAATGCAATGCAGCCGATAAGCGCGCATGGTCCGTAGTGATGCAATTGACCTGGCGTCGCGGCCATCGGTTAATGAGATTCAATCCGTCGTCAATACCAGTTAGGCTTGCCTCGGACCATGTTGGGTGACCTGCTGTTCCCTAGTCCGAAAGCGGCACATGTCTGCCAATGAGGCTCGATGCTGCTTCGTCATTGCCCTCGGCCGCCGATGCATTATGGAAGAGCGTGAGAATCAGGGTTCACACCATCAGTTTTTAGACATGTAACTTTTGGCATGGCTCTGGCGAATGCCATTGGGCGGCTTTGGACCGGTGTCAACGCCATGATTGGCAACAATGCATAAGGCATCAGTCCGCCTCCCGATGAGGCAGGAAATAACCATGAATTTCGGTCACACCTTTTTGCCGCGAATTGAGGTATCACATCGCTCAACATGGGAAATGACCTGCAGGTTTGCTTGGTGTTCGTATCCAACTGTTTTGAATGTCGGTCCCTGTCGAGGTTACTGGGTAGCTCCGAGTCGCCCATCGACTGCCGCCGGCCGTTGCGCCCGACTTTGCGCTTGGAGTACTAGTACTCCGTATTCTTTGCCCATATAATTTTGCTGGCGGCGAATAGTTTTCATCTCCATTGTCTCCGACGCGAAGCTAATGAGCAAATGGCAATGACGCCGTCAGACTCGAGTAGGGAGATGCGTTTCACAACATGATGCTTAAATTCCGACTTGGCGGGGTAGTCGAGGGAAAGAAACGCTTCCCTGTGACCAACGGGATCGAGTGTCTCGTGGATAACGTCATGCTGGGAGACTCTGGGGCCTGGCTTTTCACTGCAATAGGAGGCAGGCCGGGCAACAATATTCGCGAGGGGGGGAGGGGGTTTATCGAGGCTGGCATCTCTTTGACTTCAAGGTCTCGTGTTCGCCCCGTCCCCATGTTGTAGAACGCTCTCAAAGAGGCGAGTCGTTTGATAGTTGCGGAGTGCCACGTCTATGTTATCAAGTCTGGGCTGCTCGGCGCATAGCATCTGGCATGGCGGATGGTTGGCTTGATGAATTTGATAATTTACACTCGTCGTTCGAGTCGCGACGCATTGCTGCCCTGCCATATCAACTGATCCACCTCCCCGCAGGCACCCCACAAGTCCTTAGTCCGTAGTAGTAGTACTCCGTAATGAGGCTCGAAATGGATTGTAGATCAGCCTGCTTGAAGGGTAGGGGCCAGAGAAGCTTGTCCGCGCTAGTCTGGCCCTTGGCTTGGGGAAACTGAGCCCCCGAGCTCGTCGGTGTCGATGCAAACGGGCCGGACGGAGGAGGACAACGTACGAAGTAGGGGAGGATGACTAACCCTGCTTATGGTGCATCACGTGGCTCCATACTCTCATGTAACAATGTTGCTGCATCGCCGGCACGACGCTGTCGACCCAATTGACAGCACAAGATCCCATCGAGTCATGTAGCTCACAGCAAATGCTGCAGCAATGCATCTGTAATTGTCCATAGCCGCCAATAGCCCTCGGCTGATCTCTGCCTGCAGACAGCAAGCAGGCTCCGCCCATGACATGCCAGGAGGCCCGTCGGGAAGAGGCTGTCAGGGCTGCCGGAAACGCAAGAAGAAGGTACGACGGACTGAATCCATCTTCGACGCCCGACTGCCGTCTTTGGCGGGTGAATTTCTACATTGCAGGACTGACAAATTCTGTCAACAGTGTGATCTTGCGCAGCCATCATGCTCTAGGTGCCTCCGCTATGGCATCCGCTGCGTTGGATCTGGAGAGCGAGTGTACCGGTTTAAGAATGCGACTGTCACGGGAAGCGTCCCGGTGGCCCGGACAGCAGTCACAGCACGGTCCAGAGGTGGAATACTGGCTGACGGTCAGATTAAATTGTCACCGCCACGGCCACTCGGAAATGAATTAACGTCAACAACCGGGGCCTTCATCTCAACCTTGCAGATTTCCGACCCCAAGTTTTCGGTTCTTGGCTTCGGTCCTTTTCTTGAAGATGTGCCGTGCCGCTTGGGAAGGAGCCAGATTCTTCGCACTGCAGCCATGGCCTTCTCGAGTGCCGTCACAGCAGTTCATTCGCGACAAGCAACCGTGCAAGCTCTCAAGGACTACGGCACAGCACTCGCCTGCATGAGAAGCAGCTTTATTAACGATCCATCCCAAGTCGGCAAGGCGGAGACGCTCTGTGGCGTGTATCTTCTTCTGTTGTCTCAGGTATGCTTGAATACTAGTAGCAAGTTCTCTTGCCCATGCAACTAAAAGGTTCATTCATTTTCTGCAGTATTTTCTTGGCGGACACAACGATGAGTGTTTGGTCCATCTTCAAGGGTTGCTGTACATTTTAAACAATCAAGCAGCTCGAGATTACCAAGACCCCTTCAGCTCAAAAATGGTTGACCTGGCGTCGATAATAGCCGTAAGAGCATCCTTCCCGTCAGCATGTGACAAAATACCTGTGCATGGTTTGCTGACTCCCCGCACAGATCACCGAGTGCGTCATTGATCCCAGGGTACAGATTAAAAGATGGCATGCGGATCTGAGGAAAACATCATATTATGGACCGCTGAACAACTATTCTGTGGTCGATATTAGATCAACAAATTTGACAGTGGCAAACCTCATAGACCTGCCCATGTTTCTCCAAGAACCCGAATACCACCTTGTTCAACTACGCTCATCCTACGACTTGATGAGAGTGGAAGTGAAAAAGATAATTCCAATCACCAAGCAACTGCATGAGGCCTGTGCAACAAGCCTTGACATGAATTACTACAAAGGCTATACCATTTGCGAGTCCTCCATCTGTGTCTTACACACATTAATGGCCATTATTCGGAAGACACTTCAGGTCTTCCACCCGTACGACAGCACTCTGAAAGAACACGAGGAGGCTGCAACCAACGTTGTTCTTGCGTCAGCAGCGCGGGCCTGGAATTTCCGTCCTTTAGGCACAACATATATGCCCAAGACGTTATGTCTTCTGTGGGCAACTACGGATGATCCCAATATGAAGGCTAAAGTGGAAGATATGATTGACAACTATCGGGAAGATTTCAGAGGAGACAGCTGGACCAAGATTGCACTCTTCTTCGAGCAACGGTTTGAAAGACTGCGCAGGCGAGTGCAGACAACCATGCCTTACCACCTTCGACAAGATACAACGAGTCCCGGGTCAACAAATGATGAAACTGAAAGCTTCGTCGAAGTTTAGAAGAGTCTCAAACACCTCACATCCAAAAGCTAATTTGCCTTGCAATCACATAGTCTTTGGCATACAGCCAAAAGGCCGAGCGTGGTAGAAATTTGTGGCTATTGCGATCTAATACAGTATCACATGGCGCTAGTTTCATGACGAGGCCGGCTGGGCGACTAGGTTGCTGACAATGTGAGCAGTGTGGACTTGCCCTTCAATGGGGATTCACGGTCAACCGTACTTGTAACGCATTGCTCGCTTATACATTATATCATGTCAAACGAACAAAAAAAACTGTGCTCACCACCGGACGTTCCTCCACGTTTGGTAGTATGGCACATCGTTCCAGTCCGCTAGCTTTTGGGAATAGCTAAAAGTTGGCATCCCGAGGAGTTGCGCCTCCATGTCCTTTGGCCCAAAAGCCCTGTTGGTCTCCATAGCAGCTGCTGTGGCACATAGGTGTGTTCGATAGGTTAACTTGATTCTTTGCATGAATGCTGATAGCTATCACCAGCCAAACTCCAAATTCCAATTAATAAGATCATCTCTTGGAAGTAGAGCTGCGAGTTAAGAACAGCTGGCTTGATTTTAGCTTCTACCTATATCCCTTTAAGCAGACAAATTGGGAACACCCATAGACCAAATCGTGTCAATCAAAGCACCATTATAAGTTCCCACATATTGTCCATCAAAAAGGGTCAAGAAATGATTCGAAGAGAACCATGTACCCAGATTGCTTGAAGAAGTTAGTCTTGTTATCTGAGACTTCGAACAGGTGCAAAAGGGGTGGGTACATTGGATAGCTTTAGAACAAGACTTCATATACGCAAGCTTGTCTAAGCGGGACAGTTTTTTTTTTTTTTCAAAATAGAGAACTTGGTCCTTTCGGTAATCAATCTCTGTGTTTATTGGAATGGAGAATTCTGAACCGAACTCTACATCAGTTCATCTCGTGCCTGTTGTTTTCCAATGTATGCTTATCGATAGCGAACTGTGGGTCGTCGTAATTGCTCACGTCTTGGGCTTCGATCCCAATTCACCATAGCATAACTCCGCGTCAGTAGAAGCGCCGCCCTCGGCAGCTCGCTCCAGGTCGTCTTCACCACCGAGAAACTGCAACTGGATCAAATCACGGCGAATAATGTCAGCGATTTACAATCTCGAGCCGCAGCCAACGGCGTCGGCAATCATCCACACGACCCTGGGAGAGATCCTCGTTGAACTTTTTGCCAAACAAGCCCCTCTCACCTGTCGCAACTTTCTGCAACATAGTCTGGACGGGTACTACGATGGCACAGTTTTCCACAGATTAGTCCCCAACTTCATTTTACAGGGTGGTGATCCTACAGGTACCGGAAATGGCGGCGAGTCCATCTACGACGGCGGCGCGTTCGGCGGCGACTTGGATCCGTGGCCAATGGACGAGCGAAGGGGCCAAAATGCAGGCCCTACAGGCATAAACTTCAAAGACGAATTTCACTCACGTCTCAAGTTCAACCGAAGAGGTCTGTTAGGTATGGCCAACGAGAGTCGTGCAGATACAAACGGCAGCCAGTTCTTTTTTACATTGGATAAAACCGAGGAGTTGAATGGGAAGAATACATTGTTTGGACGGGTCGCGGGCGATACGATATATAATTTGGCCAAGATTGGAGAGTCCGAGGTAGACGAAGCGAGTGAAAGACCGCTATATCCAGTGAAGATTGAGAAGGTGGAAATATTGGTGAATCCGTTTGAGGACATGAAAAAGAGATCGAGGGTCGCGACACAAGCTGTGGAAAAATCACTGTCTGCGGATAAATCGAAGAAGAAGAAGAGGAAGGGAGGCAAACAGCTGCTAAGCTTTGGGGATGAGGAGGTGGGAGAGGAGGAAGAGCCGGTGTTTAAGAAGGCCAAGTTTGACACGAGATTGATTGCACAGGAAGAGGAGCCAGCGGAGGAGCCAAAGAAAGACAAGACCGGCAAAAAGAAATCTGCCAAGGAAGACAAGAAGAAGAATCCTATGCTGCAGGAGCACTCTGACGAGGAACGACCTGCTCCAAATGCAGAGAATATCAAGCAAACAAGCCAACCAAAAGAAGACGCCCGAGAAGAGGCGGAGGAATTATCAGACGTGCCAGAACCGCCAAAGAAGACGGCTCTCCAAAAAGCCAATGAAGAGCTGGCGGCATTAAAGGCCTCGATGCGTCGAACCATTCACTCGGAACAGCCGGCAGAAGACACAAAGAGGAAGTCTGCTCTCGAGTCCATGATACCGGAGACATCAATGCGAGCGAGGAAGCGACGACCAGGAGGCAACAATACTAGCGCAAGCGATGATCAAGCGGCCATGCGTCTGTTGCGTGCTTTTCAGTCGAGGCTGGAAAAGGCTCCGCCAGAGAAGGAAATACCTGAATCTGCAGAAAAGGGAGACGAGGGCAGCAGGGATGCAACAGGCGCAGATGATGAAGCAGAGCTTTGCGATTTGCACTTTATTGCCAACTGCCAGAGCTGCACGGCTTGGGACAAACAGGACAAGGAGGAGAGCGACGACGAGGGCTGGATGTCACACTCGCTGTCCTTTGCAGCAGATAGGCTGGGTAAAGACCTGAGTAATCGGAAGAAGGCGGAGGAAGAACTGGTGGTCATTGATCCGCGGGAGAAGGCCCGTACGCTTAAAGAGGACAAACGGGCGGACCGGGAGGCGAAGATGGGCGGATCGCGGGCTTGGGATCAAGCGAGGGACCAGGCTCGCAATGCGAAGTTGGCGAGGATTAGTTCGCTTGCAGGTAGGGGGGCCAAGTAGGCGCGAGGAGCGCTGTGTATTATCATGCGTCCGGACTGAATATAAGCGATACCCAAGAATACGATGTCGAGTGATGCCAAGTGAAAATAAATGACAGTGCTATGTAGCGTGGGATGGCAAGGATTAGGGAAGATTTGTTGGTGACTGGTAATGCCAGACTACAGAAATTATCATATGAATGTCAGGGTATAGAGCTGACGAGTACATGGGCATATCATGCCGTTGATGACGAGGCAAGGCCTGTGCTTGGAATTCGGGATTTTGAAAAGACTACCGAGTAGATGTAGGGTGATGTAGTGGACCAATGGACGACGTCGGAGAGTATTGATGGCAGTTGAAATGTGAGGCGGACCAAGCGGCACAACCAGAGACCCGCATGGCCTTGCCCATGTACATAAATTGTATGCAAAGTTCTTAGGTACTGAAGTACTTAAGTACCAGTGCCCAGTCAAGTATTTGCTGTTACGAGCCGTACTCCGAGGCCGCTAACAGGTTTGCGGCGCGGCACTGCTTGTCTGGCCCGCCCGTCAGTGGACGGATCGAACGGATTGGACGGATTGGACGGATTGGACGGAAAGTGGGAACAATTTCGTCAAAGCAAGGCGACTTGGTAGGACGCGGCCCTGGTCGAATCTAAAGTGGTTGGAAAATGATCTAATCGATAGCTAACGGAGGCTCCGCTCGTTCATCCTTTGACAACCAACTCGGTAGGAGCGTAGGAAAGCCATCATCTGTTATCATTTGATATTCTCCTGCCTCCCACATAGCGACTGCTCCGGCAAACACGGCGCGGCGCTTCGCCTTGATTCCCACAAAGGGCGAAACCATCGAGAAAATACCGTTACACTAGATACAACGGTGGTAGGAAAGAAAACCGACTGCCGCCGTGCAACGCCTTCCTGCCTTGGTGTTTTGCTCTGCCTGTATCGACAGACCCGCAGAAATCGAAGAGAAAAGCGACATTCTCCAACCGAACCCAGACCGCCTCGTCGACGGAACGGCATTCGAGAAGGGGTGCTCGTTGTAGTGCCGTCCTCGCTGCCTATCCTGAACGTATTTGTTGCGCGCTCTCAAATTTCTGCATTGTGCAGACCGTGTCAGCCGCCCGCCCGTTGCCTTCTAGTCGACGAGATTGAGTGGCCTTTCGCCCGCCTTGTGCTACTCGAGCGGACCAACCTATGAGGGAGATAGAACGACAACAACGAGAAAAGAAGAATAAAGTGTGAAAAAAAAAATCTAACATACAAAAACATAAAGCATTCCGTTCGCTCGGCCGTTCAAACAAAATAAAAGTCGATAACGACACCTCACAACGCGTCACCGCCTGGGCCAAACAGCCCGTCAGTTTCTTCACAAGCAACCGACCGAGTCCGCCACAGCCTGATATCCAGGCGCACCTTCACACATCCCCATGTCAACACCGAATGCGAGGAAGCGAGCGGCGCCGGGCGCATCGCCAATGGTGAACTACCCGCAGCGCATGCAGCAGCCGTTCCCAGCAGACAGTGCCGTTCCAGACAATATGCTTAGATGGAACGGCGACAGTGCCGACTTTGTCGATGGCTCTGCGCATGCTGCTAATCCCTATGGCATGATGCCCACGCCGCCTCAGTACACCCAGGTCCCCGCGCCGTCCAACAGCCTTACGCGACGCGACATGAACCAGGCGCTGATTCCGACGCACACTCGAAACTTTGACGGTTCCGTCGAGCCGTGGGCCGGCTTTGGCGACGGCAACAATCTTTTGCCACAGAACGATGAGGAGGGCTTGATTGAGCAGGACAACGTCGAGGCCTTGGAGGAGATGGCGCAGAAGGCTAAGCGGGAGGCTCAGGGCAGGCGGAAAGGGATTCCGCCGTTTGTGCAAAAGCTCAGCAGGTAAGTGGTTTGAGCTGGGGCTTGTCCAGGTGCTGGACTGTTCCATCACGGTGCATTGGCATTGATGCTAACTCAATCTGTCCCTTTCGCTAGCTTTTTGGAGGAACGAAAAAACGAGGATCTCATTCGCTGGTCGGAAAAGGGAGACTCATTCATTGTTCTTGACGAGGACGAGTTTGCCAAAACCCTGATTCCAGAGCTGTTCAAGCACAACAACTACGCCTCCTTTGTTCGGCAACTCAACATGTATGGCTTTCACAAACGTGTTGGCCTGTCGGACAACTCGATGCGAGCGAGCGAGCGCAAAAACAAGAGCCCCAGCGAGTACCACAATCCATTCTTCCGCCGTGGCCACCCCAACCTGCTGTGGCTCATCAACAAGCCTAAGAGCAGGGCCACGTCCAAGAAGTCGTCCAATAAGAACGAGCTCGGCGAGCTGGACAGTGACGAGGATCAGATTCAGGATGAGGTGACGGCGCAGAACACCGCAGCCGGATCCAACGTCCCTACGGGCCGGTCACTGCCGCCGGCGTCTGCATCATCATCAGCAGAGCCGCAGGCCCTGCCCAAGAAAGAAATGACCTTGATCCGAGAGGAGCTGAATAAGGTCCGAGAACAGCAGAAACTGATTCACAAGGCAATCAATCGGCTGCAACACACCAACAACGATTTGTACAACCAAGCACTCATGTTCCAGTCGCAACACGACCGGCACCAAAGCTCCATCAATGCCATCCTCAACTTCCTGGCCAATGTCTTTAGAAAGACTCTGGAGGACCAAGGCAACACGCAGAGTGTTGGCGATATCCTTTCAAGCATGATTACCAACCAGGGCCAGCCATCCCACCAAGGCAATGTGGTCGACCTGGGCGACTTTTTCCAACCAAAAATGGATTCTGCCTCCAATATGGGCGGTGCTCACAAGCGAACCCGTGGCCTGCTGCCGCCCATCCCCAACCACCAGGCCGATGCCTCAACAGCTACTCAGTCACCATCGACTAGTTCAACACCATACTATCCCGTTGGCAACCACAACCCCGAAATGGGCCACGTCACCGAGTTGGTCGACGGCTCCGACACACCTCCAAGTCTCCGGCAGGAGCTAGAGTCCAACCCGCACGAACGGATGATGAAGATCATCAACGACCACAATGCCACGAATAAGTCCGGCATGGATCTCCCCGAAGCCACGGAGCTCGTCACCAACGCCCCCAACACCCTGAATAAGGACCAGAGAAGCAAGTTTGTCGACTTCATGGCCGGACAAACTACGTCACCCCCGTCACAGCCGCCCTCCGCACCCACGACTGCAAAGCCCACGCCCGTCCCTCCACGCTCCGCCAAAGCCAGCGTCTCCCCATCACCAACCCCAGCAGACGCCGCCGTCCCCTCGCTATCCCCCATCATGCGCTCACCACAAATGGCCCCCCCGTCGTTGAATCAAATCAGCACCAATCAAATCGACCTCGACCAGCTCCAACGCCTGCAATCCGACCAGGACGCCAAAATCCACGAACTCAGTGAATTGCTCGGTCCGCTGAGTCCGTCGGGCCGTATACCGGGCTTAGAAGACGGCGCCGAAGCGTACTTTGATCAGCCGCATGTCGACCTGGACCAATTCTTCGATAGCAACGCGTTTTTGAACGATGCTAGTTTCGGCGACGGCAACGATTTCAACTTCAGCATTGACGGGGCAGCGGATGATGTGAAGAACGGGGAACCCAGTCCCACTGGCACCGAGGAGATTCAGAGAGACGATTTTGATACCACGCAAAAGAACGGAAATAAGAGGCGAAGGGTAGCGTAGGCGTTTTGTACATGGGAAGGCAAAGGGGCCGTGGTTTTGTGTCTTTGATTTTTAAAAAACAAATAAGAGAAACTTTTGGCATTGGACGGGTTTATGAGCCTCGGCAGCTGCTGGATGGATGGGTGCGGCGGGTGGTGTTTTTGGTGGTTTGTAGATATGTGCACATGGCCGTATCGTTTTATATAAAGCTATATCCCACGTATGACATGCCGTCTATTGCTTTTGTCAAGTGCTAGTTCCCCTCTCCCCCCCAATCATCCACCTGGGTATCATGCCAATGCTATACACGCCACCAACCGTTCAAAACAAACGAAGAAAAAAAGGCAATGTCAACGCCTTATCCCTATATCTGAATTCAAAAAAAAAAAGAGAGAGAGAAAGGAAACATCAGCCCGCCAGGGGATTCGCATGCACCGTCACACGATCGATCCTCACGTCCCCCCTGGCAAGCGGCCTCGCCTTGCGGTCCACCTCCTCGGCCTCGAGCCGGGCCAGCGTCGCCATGGCCTCGTCGCCAATGACCCTCCCAAAGACGGTATTCAGGCCATCCAGGTGCGGGGCCTTGTCGAGCGTCACGAAGAACTGCGACCCGTTGGTGCCGGGCCCCCTGTTCGCCATGCTCACCGTGCCGCGCTGCGCGTGCCGCAGCGACGGCCGGATCTCGTCCTCGAACGCCGCGTCCCAGATGGACCGCCCGCCCTTGGGGTCGTCGGGCCCCGGGTGCGCCGGCGCGCCCGTCTGCAGGATGAACTTGGGGATGAGGCGGTGGAACGGCGACCCGTCGTAGTAGCCCGATGCGCAGAGGGCCAGGAAGTTCTGTCGCCGAGTTAGCGGGTGGCCTACCTTGCCGTAGAGGAAGAAGGGGGAGGGGAGGGGGGAGATGACGTGCTTCTGCGGTTTTGGGGACGCTCTCGCAAAAGACTTCGATTTTGATGTCGCCGTGGCTGGTATGTAGCGTGACGGACATGGCTGCGGCTAGAGGGCGTGCTTGGGCAGCAGAGGTGGAAGGGGGACAAGGAGGCGGGACGTCGTGATGATTTGAAGGCGGCTATTTTCTAAGGTGGGGGATTTTTTTTTTTCCTTGGTTGTCAGGTCTGACGTATCCGGCGACACCAGACTAGAGGGCCGTTTTTATGGTAGAATCGTCCTTTTCTAAAGCTCTTAGCATGTCTATTAATTGTCGATTAATACCGGACTCTACTTAACTACACTCTACCACATTTGTTTTATTATCTTATACTCCAAACTCGAAGCGGTATGCTCCATAAAGTACGTAGGCACCTAGTATCTAGCAACGAGAACTGTTGGTGCATGA